GGCATTCTGGATCCCCTGATCTGCTTACCTTCTCACTGGTTTTGCATTGAAGGTCTAAGGTCCAAGCACATGACATCATTCGCCCAGCTGCCACCTAGATGCTGATCCTCAAGTGAGCCTCTAGATCGTGGCTAAGCTTCGATACAGCAACTATAGTCTACCGGTCTACCAAACGAAGGCTTTCCATCATCCAAAATTGCTGATCAATGGGAAAACCACTGGTTTGGGGCCTTTGGGGTTGTCATATTTTAGGAAACCTCCAGTTGACCCAATCATGGTAAACCTATGTAAATCATTGTAAATCTATACATATATATATATATATATCGTCCACCACCAGTCCTTGGTTTCTCCTTCTGTAGCTGTGCAAGAAACACTTCGGATGCTTCCTGGCGAGCAGCAGAGAGATTGGCAGGTTGCCTGACCCCCAAAAGAAGTCAACGTGCAGAGGATATTCACAATTTGGATTTGAACCATCAAACAGTGGCATTGAATGAACCATATGAACCATGGTTTAAGCGATTTTGCCTTGAGCAAACTAAGCTGGCGTGCTGGAACATCTTTCGTTTGTCTCCATGCATTTTTAACATGAAACTTGAGAGCGTTCCATCGCCACGTTTGATTGTCAAAGAGCACTTCAGAAAGGGAAGAACCTGAGGCAGGTACATTTTGGGTACATTGGAAAGGATTCTGTTAACATAGCAGATCAACATATCAGATCTAGATCAGGGATTCAGTGATATATATATATGGTGATATATTAACCATATATATATATACCTTGGGCTTCCAGAACTGCATAAAATGTAGGTTCCCTACCAAAACCCGAGGTTTGTGGGGTAAACCCGAGGTTTGTGAAATTGTAGATTTTGGGGACTTGACAGAATACCAACACACCTTCAAGAAATCCCACTCTCCACCAGCCGCTAGCCATTGGGCTTAAGTTTTGTCCCAACTTGCGTTTCCTGTGCTTTACACTGCATGCACCTGGGCTTGAAAGTGGTGCCAAAACGATAAGTCAAATATCCACTTAAGGTTACATAAGGTTCATTCATACATATTATAAGATACTATAACCATATGGCATTTTGGAATTTCCCAAGTGGCTACCCAGGGCGAACTAAATACCCTGCAGCTATCCATTGAGGATAACTTGCCATCAAATACCGATCAGTTACCCTTTCAGGGGCTCGGTGACCACCAGTAACTCGCCTTGACAATCTGCTCGGTCTTGATATAAAATCTTCACATTGTTAAACCGATACAGACAGGGGATTGAGCTGCTCAATGTTTTGATCAGCACCCCAATGTAAGCGAAGAAAAAATTTTTGCAGGGGGTGGATCTTGGGGGCAAACTCAAAAAGGTTCTTTCCCTGATCCTTGGATTGCTTCGCAAGCTCTTCGAACCTGCGGATAAAGCGCAACCCATTCCCTGATATCTCCAAACACTGGCTTTTGTTTAACCAGAGGTCTGCTTTGTACATGGTTCGAACACATGCGTTAATTGCCATGGTTGCTTGCCGGCAAAGTTCCAACAGCGGTTGATCAGGAAATGATCTCAACATAAACTGGGATTCTAAAAAATCCATCATCACAGTTGACAGCTCTCCTTTGTGCCAAATTCCGCATGGAAATTGTCCTGTGGTTTGCCAACCAATAGTTTCTTTGGTGAGCTTTTGGATGTGGGCCCTGTAGCCATTGGATGAACACCATTGTTTGTACCGGTCAGACAGTGCAGAAAAACGGTCGTCCACATTTGATGCAGCCTCAACTGTTGACAGCAACGCCAAAATGGAACCAATAAACCGTTTCGCGACCCCCAGATGCCACGTATGGAAAAAGTCCCAAGTCCACAAATTTGGAAGCTTTCCACTGACGTGTGGAACCACCACAAATGGGGAAGGCTGTGTAAAAGGGTCCTCTTCGAAAAGTGTGTTGGCCCACAGTGGTCGGGTTGTGGAAACCTGCTCAAACGGGATGCCAAGCTGACCCGCTCTGCATTCATGGCATATGCCATGAAACACCATCTGGCCTTTTTTTTCTGAGCATTGTGAAAAGACCTCTTGAAGTGGCCCGATTTGTGGAGCCACGGCCAATCTCCAGTTATGTGTAACATGATCATCCAGCGTTTGTTTCCCTCTGGGTCCTGAATGCCAGTTGTGGCTACTGACTCAGCCTGTTTGGCACACGAAGACATCAAAGCAGAGAAAACATTGGAATTCTCACCAGTATAGTCACACTTCCGGAGCCCCGCTACCATGAAGCGAGAAGTATAGCTGTGTCCTCTGTAATTGCACAGTTGTTTCAGGTACGGTTTCTTAACAGCTTTTTGGCATTTCTCTCGTTCACCAGCTTGGATCCCACGACCCAACAAACCTCTAAAAGAAACAACTAGATACGCCGTGTGCTTTCTGCCACGGCCTTCATCTCCATGCAGAACAACTGGAGCAGTGTTGTGGAGCAGAAGGCGGCCAGCGGATTCCAACTTGAAGACATCATGATCTGGGTTCAACTGTCTAAACTTTGACCAGAAACTTGCCAAAATGGCTCTTTCTCGTTCTGGGTCCGGTCGTACCAAACCACATAGCACATGCCAGCAGTTGTTGCGTAACATGAAGTCAGCCCAGTCTTCCATCTTTAAGATAGGAATCTTCACCCATGGATCTTCAGTTTCCAGAATAGATCTTTTAACCGGCAACGCTAGACTGTACTTGTTGACCATGAGTCTTCTGCAATCCCTTTCTGAATTTTTATCTTTACTCCGAGCCAACTCAGCTAACCCCCCTGAGCGACTCGCGGACGACGCCCCAATATCTGCCACAACGTTCCGGGCAGCGTCAATAGCAGATCTGCAAGAGGCCTCGGAAAGCAAAGGATGAAAAGACAAAAGTCAAAAACAGAAAGCAAAGGGCTAGGGCTTTTCAAAAATGAGATGGGGGAATGGATCAGCTGCTAAATGATTTTTGTACGACTGCCTTCAACATTGCTGCATGCATTCTCAATCCAAACGTGCTTCTCTAAATGTGTCCATTTTTCCTGAGAAAGGTTCACGCTCCTCCACGCGCTAACTTTTCCAACTTTGGGATTGGAGGAGGATACTTGAATGACCTGTACACAACATATGTAGCATACCAGCCCTCCGAGGTAGTTGACGGTGGAATGGCATTGTCTCCACCTTGCTTCACATTTCGACAACCAGGACGACCTGGGCTGTGTGGTCCGGGTGGTTTTGTTTTTTCAATGAATATGTTTTTCATTTTTGATAGATGTTGGAACAAACATCCCGGACAAAAAAAACAAGTTTTCGACCAGCTCTGCACAAATTTGCTATAAGCAAAGCTGAGTCACTGAAGTGTTTATCTATTAGTGCTGCCTCTAACATGGCTGGGCTGTAGGGCTCATGGGAGACAAAGAGAACCACCATGTCACTCCATCCATCACGGTCCCCAGCATAGCCGTATAGCTTATTGCTCCAACGCCAAGCTGGACAATGTGTCCAGCCAATTTTAAATATGCATGGGTCATGCACTCTAAATATTGACTCCATTATGCTCTGCGAGTGTCTAAGGACACTTCCAGCTGAAGATCCACTTTTGGGCACTTGAAATCTAATGCACCCTAGCTCTTGGCAAGGGCGGGCTAGATCTGAATACCAAGGAAAGTCATCGAGTTTCAACGCAGTCGATCGTAGTACTTTTGTAGGCCGGGAACTCTCAGCATCATCATGCCCAACAGGTCCCACCTTCTCTGCCAACTTGCGAGGACCACTACTCTTGGACCATGGGAAAGGCACCACTGCATCCTGGCAAGCTGGGCTGATGGGTATGGCAAGGATGGGCTCCTTATCACTGCACTCATGGAACATAGTTTTCAAACATCAAGATCTATACGGAATGATCTATACTCGTATGGTGTCGCATCCAAAGTAGGAAAGTCTGCATTGCTGACAGGAATGAAATCTTATTTTGTGTTTTGATTAAGATATGGAAGGGTGGGTCACTGATTGAGCACTGGTCAGGACCAAGGTTTTACATGGTTTTCGAAGATCAATCAAATATAACATCTTGACAAGAGTCTGAGCGATGGCAAGTGAAGAGATCAAACAGTTCATCATCAGGTGACTCAATTTCCATGGCATACCCTGCGGGAAGCTAGGACACAACATCAAGTGTATTCATGAATCAATGATATGCTTCTGAACTGTTCTGCTTTGCTTCGGTCCATGTGTCAACTGAAGAAACGGTTTCCGGTTTTGATGTTGACCTCGAATTCAACTTCATGTATTGTTTGAATTTCAAAATCGATTGTCACAGCTGCATGAATTTGAGCCAGAACTTACTGCTGATTGACTGACTGGCGAGGTGATTCATCAAAGATCTTCGCGACCTTTGAGCTCTGGACTCCTTCTCCGATTCTTCTGGCAAAGCCGCGAATGGCGCGACCTGGCTTCTGACCTGTCATGGCCGGAAGGCTATTGGTTGGATATTGACCTTTTTGCGATGGCTGCATAGATCTTTTTCTGTACGCAGTGGATTTTCTAACCGAAGCTTGTAAAACTCTGCAATGTTCGAGATCTGTTTGTTCCTCTATTGCGACGCTCCCAAGTATGCAGTGAGAACTGCTAAAGAATTTGGCTGCATGTTGAAGCCCAACGCATCACTCGATCAATCTATGATACTGTGGCTTATCCCGGTGGTGGCTGCCCATGTAGACTTTACAAGGTATATATATAAATTTTAATAATTATAATACATATATATCATGAAATCATATGAAATCATAAATGATCTTCCAGATCAAAACCAGTACTGACGCATGTGAAGAGTTGAGCCAATGGGCCCCATCGACCAAACATGACTTTCAAAGTGCAAGGTTACAAATCAACTGCCATTCCACCAGGTTGCAAAGCCAACCCCCACAACCCAGAAGGCACTGCGTGTCCTGGTCACGCAGTGATCCAAGGTAGCTACACAGGAACCTACTTGGCACCTGCTTTGGCCTTAGCGGGCAGAGCTCTTTGGCTTTGGTTTGGGCGCCTGCTTCTCTTTTTTAGGTTTCTTATTGCTAGGAGCACTATCACCGGGTTCCTCTGCCCCATCAGGCGTAGAACCCGCTTTGCGCTTGGTGTAGAACTTCTTTGCATTCCTGCGCTGTCAACTGTGAATCGGTGTTCATGACCTTTTTATTTTCATTTATTTTCCAGGTTAAGTGCATACTAATTTTAAACTGTAGGCTTGCTTTAGATGAAACATCCTGGCAATTTGACTTTCCTAAAGTAATAGACAGGTCTTTGGAATCAAATCCAACAATCGATTGAACCAAAATCGGTCCTGATCTTCATCTCCACGCCCGTGGCTGCAGAACACCTGGGCCGACCAAGGACAACAAATTGCTGATATCATGGCATATGGAGGGTGACTCCTGGCTGATGGCCATTTGGTATAAGGAGTGGACACATAAGTTGATTGCTTGATCTGGGCTTCCGCTTCAAGGTGGAACCTTGCTGCAAAGGAATGGCACAGTGTTTTGCAGTGATCACCAAAAAACGTAATGCCATGAAAGTGTGAAAGTGTTGCAGTGCTCTGTGATTGGGTCTAAATATCAGAGATTTGGACTGAGAAACGTATCCGTCAAGAATCCTTCAACTTCACCTTTGGCCCAAACTGCCTGGCACTTGTCATATGTATCATCGACCTTTTGCACCTGTGTCCGCAAGGAGGTGATGCACCTCGGCGGAGATGTGAGCTGGCAAGTTCTTCGTGGTACTGTTCCTGAAGTGGCATCTTGTCTTCATTAGTCATTTGAAAAAGTTGGTGACATTCCCGGCTGGGGTACCTACGCGGTGGCAGCTTGGTCATTGTATTTCGTTTCCAACTCCCGAATCAAACTTCGAAGCTTTCCGGTTTTGGAAATCAGCGACTCCATGAATTTTTTCAAGGCATCGCGGGTCTGTCAGGCAAAGGTGTTGGAACAAGTGTGATGTGCCAGTGTTTGGTTCAGCTCATTTTCAACGTAACTTTCAAACCCTCCAAACGCTAAATGCAACAATTCCGTGCAAAATAAAATTGCTCATTTACCAACTCATGTACCTGCGCACCCTTGCTTTGGGGCGCTGGGAGTGCAAGCTTTGTGTCCTTTGCTTTGTCAGCCCTGGTCTTGTCCGCTTCCAGCATGGCAAACATGGGGCCACCGAAGTCAGCGTTGGGCTCACCTGTGGCCTTGTCGGGGATCAGAACTTATTTCTCCTATATACTTTAACTTTTCACAGTTACAGAGTTGGAGAACGAAGTATACTTGCAAGATCCATCAAGTTCCTATGAAGTGCACAGATAGAAAATTTAAAGTATGGCCTCCTTCTCCTGTTGATGCATTTCTTCAAATGACATAGATTCCGTTTTCTTTCCCATCTCCTTCGTCGTGACCCAGAACTCCTCTTCTCCATCGTATTCATTTCTCCTGTCATTGTCGAATCCCGGGGTTGGAATTAGGATGAGCCACGGTTGAATCTTTGGGAATGGGAAAACAAAATTTGAACAGCTGTGCAGTATATCGGTATATAAATTCTAACCATATATAAATTATATATATTCCCACTGCCTGGCATGGCTCTCCCCCAAGGCTTTGCACTTTGCCTTGGCTCCTTCGATTTTGTTCCTTGGCAATCCGTGATGATTTCCAAAAAACAAGCTCAAATTAAGACTCAACGCTGACCTTCATAATTGTAAATTTCAAGTGCTGTTGATAAGAGATGGGACCCCGGCTTTGACCAACCCAGCTCTACCAACTCCTGCTCGCTATGCCATCCCTGCTCCTTGGTCAATTCGATCTTTTGCTTCTTCTTCACGGTGATGAGAAGCTTGTTCAGAAAGACCTCCTGTGCGAGATTCAAACATTCCATAAGTTTGGATGGAATTACAACACTCTGGCAACATGACTGGAGTAAAAGGGGTTGAGACTTCAGATAGATTTCCTCGAAGGTGGTTCCCCATAGTTAGCTACCGCTAAGTTGTTTTATGTGTACAATAATTCGCTATGGTTTATGATAATATTACATTCTTTCAGATTGTATAGTTAACCGGGGACCGGGGTCAAAAATTTTAAACTTACAAACAATTGTGGGGATACCAGCTTGCACATTCGTTTGAGATCATGGTTTGAAATCCCCAAGATCTAACCAACACATTTGAAGGGCTATATAAATATGCTCAGTTCCCTTCAATCCTTCTGGAAGTTGCAGTGAGACAACAAGTCGGCAATGTCTTTGCGACATCCGTTCTTCCACTCTTTCACCAGCCAGTCAGGAGCGTTCAACTCTGGTTGCCTTTTGTGCGGCTTGACCCAGCGGTTGAGCCGTGACTTGGCTGCAGCTCTCAACTTGGCCTGCCGATTGGGAAGCTATGGGAAGATTGTGTTTCTACAATAGTTTATATTGTATACCAGCTGAATGTTGCACCATGAACGACATTTCAACAACGATTGTATTGAATCGCTACGATGCTAAGACAAGCAGAAGGAATACTTGATGATGGAAGGAAAATACAGAGGTTGTCCATTGTTTTCGAAACTCTCATTCAAGCACAATTTCTTTAGTGGAATCATTGTTAAAACACGATGAAGCAGTATGAAGCATGTCAAGCCTTGCGGCTGACTTCCTTTGCCGGGTCAACATCATCATCATGTGTGTCCTTCTTAGGCAGCACCGAAGTACCATCACCATGCTCAGATTCCTCACCATTCTTAGATTCCTCCTTCATCTCACTTTGCTCTGAATCTTGAGGTTTGACTGGGACTGGACTCGCATCACCACGTTTTCCCTCATCAGAACGTTCAACTGGAGATACACCATGGGAACCCGTCTCAATGGATTCAACCGGGGCTGCCGCTTGTGCCCTGACTGGGGTAGCCACAGGCTTAGGCTGAAGATATTGATCATCATCTACTGTCACAACATCCTGAGAAAGCAAATTTAATGTGTAAGACCTGCCTACAATGCAATGGATCTACCCACTGACATGCAAAGAAAGGCAATGATGCAGTTCTAACTATAAAATTGCCACAAAAGGGTCCGCTTTGGAATCCGGGATCTGGACGCCAGCGCTGAGGAGTTCTTCTGCAGTTGCCTCAGCGGCGCATGGTGGTGGCCCCTTGGCTAAACTGGTTTGTTCCGTGGGAAGGGCTGCTGAAGGGCTTAACAGAAATCAACATGTGAGGTTGATCTACAAAATGCTCTTTGCTGAAGATTGCTCATGCATTTCTGGGATCTCGGCAGGTAAAGTCTCCATAGAGCTAATGGTATCCGGAGCGGCCTAAAATGAATCACATGATCAAATTTGTGAATTACACATATACATTGGGCATACTCAGTTTCAGGCTTCTTTGGAGCCACCAGAACTATCAGCTTGTTTCTCCGCCAGTGCGATCTCATCATCCAAAGCCTGTTCAGAAAAAGGGTTGCTAAACATACTATATATGAATGAATCAATATCCACATTCTGATTGAGATGTGTTGTGCGCACCCAATCCGAAACAGTAAGGGTTGCCTGGATATCTTGAAGAAGCTTTTGCTCTTCCAAAGACAAGTCCATAAGAGCCACTCCATCTTGAAGAGTTCCACAACTCCAGCGCTGAGATTGACTCCCTCCAGTAGACATTGCTATACCACTGGATCACAAGTTGTGTCTAGCCCTCAAACCCAAAAGCCTCAGAAGTATGCAAGCCAATCTTGAGTACATATCAAGTAAACTGGGTTTGTTCACCATATCATAAGTGCATTTGATAACACGACCGTGCACATGGCATGTGTGCATGTATGACCAGACAGTCTTTTAGACCAATCCACAGGAGCAAATGGCAATTTCGTTGAATTTATGTATCCAACATCGATACAAAGGCCACAGGCAAACCAGCAGCCTTCTGAAAGTAGGCATTTGAATTTGATGCAAACTGCAGCAAAACGAGGTCAGTTGGAGCTATCCTGAACCCATATTTTAAATACGGGTTGGTACGGGATAAATATGGGTTGGGTACGGGTTCGATACGGGTTCAGGAAACCCGGGGTTTCCGAAACAAACCCGGGGTTTACCAATGAAAATACGGGTTGATACGGGATAAATATGGGGTTGGTACGGGTTCAGTACGGGTTCAAGTTACCCCAAAATGCAAACCCGAACTTTTTTTTTCAAATTATGTGTTTTTATGAAGAGAAGTGTTTAAAACCAGTAGTGTCTCCAATCTTTTTGGGGTCAAACCCGGTTGGAATGTTAGGAAGCTGCTCCAACAACCCACCGAAAAAGCTTGTATCAAAGCTCTTTGGGAAAGTGCCGCTTCAAGTCCTGAGGTATTTTCAGGGCTGAAGCTCCCCTCAAATATTTGTACAAATCATCTAAGCCAGCGCATTGCCATACATCAGATTCCAGCCAGTCCCAAGTTAGGACCTCCTGGAATGGTGGAACCACTTCCGGCAACTGAGGACATCCACGCCGGGCCGCTTTCATCTGCTCTACAATGTCCACCATTGCCCGAGCAAATGGCATTGGGTAGTGCCTGGGCGACACGTTCTGGCGGGTTGTTGTTTGAATTTGTTGGATTTCAAACCTTGGGAGAAAAAGGAACACCCATTTAACCCCATATAGTCCAATTTTATCATGTCCAACCATCCCTCATCAGAAAGGTCCTAAGATATCCCAAATATTCCCAACGAAATTTAAATCCAAACAAGGTTCTCCGTTCCCTTGAGCTGGGCAGTCCCCTTGTAGCGCTTTTTCCCCTGTTTGTCCAAATAGTGTACAGCAGTTTGTACTTTGGATACCCCAGCTCGTTTCCATTTGCGAAGGCGTCCTCTGTCTAGCGCTAGCAATACTTTCGTATTGCCAAACGCCAGATGGCGCTTTGGCGTTTTGGATTTGTAATGGGCCATCCACCAATTCACTTTCTGGACCTTACTGGTTTTTTGGTATACTAAGAAAAAATCATGTTTGAACTGCATGGTATGACTAACATACAAAATCACAAATCTAAGCGAAAGGCGGCATAGTCACCGCCGCATCGAAATATGCTGTTTACCACTTCTCTCCAGGCTGGGTAAAATTCCAAAAGACTTCCCGAGGGCTGCTCAACGGTCCACACCCCGTCCATTGCTGTGATCAGCAAGACCATGAGGGCTGTCCTGGAGAAAAAGGTTGAGATGAGACCAGTTGTCTTCCGGTAGATTTTTTGACCCTTGAGCATCTGGAAAAAGAAACATCACCAGAACATCGAAAACCCATTTCGTACGGATTTCGTTTCATTTGTGTAAGAACTGCTTTGTTCATAATGGCCTTCACTATATAGAACAACTATTGGGTAAAATAATTTCCCTTTGTAAGGCTAGTCGACATCATGTCCAGAATTTCCATGCAGTCCTCTCCAGTAATATGTTACCAAGCTGTACTGAAGAGTATGCCAAATACCCGATGGCATCACATGCCATTCTGCGGGAAGTCCCGACATTCATGCGTGAGAAACTCGAACATTTCACACCCAGGTGGGATGCGAAATCACCTGGGATGCAACGGAGAACAGCAAGAATCGCGAGCCTGGGCTACATCCGAGCAAGCAGGGTATATAGTGCAGTTCAAAAAAAACATAGAATTCCCACGTATCTAATGTGTTTCCCCATTTCTGACTATAAGTTGTTTATCCCAATAGCCAGGGCCTATGATACACTTTGAATGCCAAACCCGGATTAATAAACCCCTAGGCTGTTTTTTATTGGAGTAGGTATGACTATATATTTTTTGGGGGGCATCCGATAAACCATTGTCTACTCCGAGGTTGACAGTATATACATGTACATCGGTAGTCTATTAATAGTGGTGATTAAAAACCAGTTTCCATTGTTGGAAGTACAACCCTGTAAAAGGTGCCAAGAAACCCAAATCCAGAGGAATGAGTAAAGTCCATATAGTTTGAAGACCTGTGAGATTCCTGTTTGTGGTCTAGGATGTCGAACCTCAAACTGGTGTAGTGCGAAGCTTTCATCATAGAAGATAGGTTGCCCAAGCCTGCAAAGTACTCTACCCATTGGATCTCCTGCACATAGTGCACAAATGCAATTCCATGATTCTTCGCTGAGGTGATTTGTAGAACATTTTTTGAAGACGATTTGAATATGTGTGAATTTCCTTTTTTAGTGCCTATTGACTGGTTCACCTGATGTATGTCCTCTCGCCCTGCCTGGGGTGTCTCGTATGTCCAGCAAAGCAGCAGGACACAAAGGGCAAATGCCTCCGTAGAGCAGTGGACTGGTTGGACTGTAATTGCCTACAGTGGCCATTGCAAAGCATCTTACATTGCTGTATCTACAATCGTTGGCATCCAGGTCAAATTCAATTAATTATGACATTTACATGTCAGGCCTTCGGAGCATGTAGTGCCCGAAGCCGCCAAATGAGGGAATCTAAGCATGGCATGGCTCTGGATACCACAATTTGGACTTGAAGTACCCCCGAAAATTCCAAACAGGAACAGTGCCAACATCCAAATGGATTATCACATCCTTTCGGAATTGAAATCATTGGAGGGTGCAAGATGTGAAATTAAAATGATCAGTGTTTGGCGTATACTTATAGTTGTCATACATGTTTTTCAGCATGGATGTTTCTGCTGAGCCAAACTGATCAGTTTGGTTTTCCAGCTGGTTGCAAAATCGCCCAACACTAGGCACAAAAAGGATTTGATCAGATTCAAGCTTTGACAACGAAATTCACCAGATATATCAATCTAATCATGTCTGGGAAGACGTTTCTTCACCTCAAGTCTCGTCCTGTAAAGATTCCGCTTCATTTTGGGCGGAAGGGCAAAGGGCATGGCCTCAGCGCCGGCTTCCAAGGACAAAGGTCAAGATTCATATGGGGATTGGTATTGGTCTGGAGAAGTTGCTGGGCTGCATTTAGGTGAACCATGGTGATGAGGTGTCAAAATATCTCGAATTTGGTTTTGCTCAATTCTTGTTCCCGTTGGGCCAATGAAGAGATTTGATTCCCCATATATTTGATACAATAGCTGCCATACTACCCTACCATCTCTTGACCTTACAAAGATTGATCCATTTGGCCTACTGCAAGGCATTTTTGAGACACCAAAACACCAAAATCAATTTCGTCATGGGATATAATATATGTGTCATGGGATGGATTTGTCATAAGTTTCCTCGCCACGTCTCCGGGTATCCAGCCGCTCTTGGCCAGGCTATTTTCACTTCACCGCCATGTCTGTCGACCGTATTGGTGCAAAGATCGCAGGACCGGAGCATTCCACAGGGAACAAATGGGTCTTGGTTCAACCTAGGGATCTACAACCAAAGCATCACTAGACCAGCATTAAAGGAAAACAGGATTTGTATGTGTGTTCTAATAGTGTTTCTAGATTCTAAACCCAATCACCTGCACTCGCCATGCTCCGGGTTCCAAAAGCTAGATTTGCTGAATCGGAATCGGGGGCATCCTCAAAATAAAGGAGATCAAAACTGTAGTCTCTAGTATTGGAGCAATCCAAATTTTTCTGAATTTCCAGACGGCCAGACATGAACTAGTTGACTTAGTGTGGCAGGTGTTCAAGAATCAATTTCAGAGATTGCCATTGGATGCCCCCAAAATTGAAGTTCCGAAGGCCATCCAATGCCCTAAGCCAGTGTGAAGGCAAATGTGGGTGTGTTATACCCCAGCGCTGAAACACACAGTCCCTGCACACATGGCATGCACTGGATATATGGTCCAACTGTGCCCCTCCTACTTCGCCTTTCGCGACTTGTCATTTTCGTGTGAGACGATACTGCTCCAAAAAGTGGTCAGCGCTTTCCTGCCCGCATATTTGATGGCTTCTTTCATTGCAAGCACATCCTCGTCGGCCTGCAAACTCACCTCGTTCTCTGGGTTGTCCTTCTTGTGCTTGTAGATGTAGCGTACCTCATTTTGGCTGCTGGGAAAAATCGATAATGGGGGTTGATACAAACCTATAGTGGCTGCCAGTAATTCAAAAAGGAGTGTGTTTCACATGGATTTCCTTTTGAATCCAGCTCGCAGCAAGCATGCGCATGTATGATCACAAGAACCAACTTCGAGTATGTAATGACATATAGTTTCAAGTGCATAAAAGGTGCAAAAATATCGCACGACTTCAGCGCAGCTGCCATGGCCACCACCCAGCATTCGCACTGGGTGCGATACCCATAAAAGCCCACGTCCTTCCCCTCTTCCCTAGAAGTCACACCACATCCAACTCCTTTCACCCCCCTCCGAATCCAGTAAATGTTCAAATTGAATCCCGCTTTGACATACTCTTTGAGAGGGAGATCCGCTTTGAACAGCTCCTTTATCTCTTCATCACTTTTGTCAGGGTAGTCCTCTGTGTGTCGCAAGAAATCCAAGATTTCCTGTTTGATCTCTTTGTTGGAGTTTGGTGGATCAGGTAGGGAAATTTCATCCTCACAGTCCTTGTTCTCCTTTTTGCGTTTCTTGCATGCCTCCTCCTCTTTCTCTTTTTTCTCCTTTTTCTCCTTTTTTTCATTTTTCTCCTTTTTCTCCTTTTTTTCCTTTTTCTCCTTCTTCTCCTTGGGTGCATTCCTTTGCCCAGCTTTCTCCAAATCCTCCTCATCATTCTTTCCCTTGGAGTGCGAAGGGCTCTTCTTCACCTTTTTGGTTTCTGGTTCCTCTCCACGCGCGGGTTCTCTACTCTTGTTGTTCTTGCTGGGCTCTTTGTTCGTGGATGTCTTTGGCTCGGAAGTTTTCTTCCTGGATGTCTTTGGTTTCTTGTCTTTCTCAATGGAAGGATCCCAGTACCAACCATACTCATCATCATATTGCCAGTGTGGGTCACGGGCTGCATCTTGTTCCATCCACTCATCCCAACCGCCCTGGTCATTGCAACCACGCCCCGCACCTCCTCTGCCCCGGCCACGGCCTCGGCCGCGTCCACGCAGTGGTCCTTTGTTCTCAATCTGCTCCCTTCGTGTGATCTTCGCTGGCTCAGGTTCCTGGGAGGGCTGGGTTGTCAAAAAATATGAGATGTCTAGGGGTTCGAAACAGGATGAAACAGGTATATATGGGGTTACGAATTAGTGTCCATGCTGATAGCTACATTTGCGTGATCAAGTAAAATTCACCCAGCACATGTATTCAACAAATAGAAACCTGTAGATACCTGTAGAAACAATGTTTGTTCCAAACCTCGCCTGTTCATGGTCACTCTCGGAAAACTCATCTTCTTTCTTCTTTGTCTGCTTTGTTTTCGCCATCTGGTGCTTTTCCTCTATGGCTGGTGCTTTACTACCCGAAGATGGCTCTTCTTCATTCACTTCTGAGCCATTCGGCTCTGAAACCCCTGAGTTCTTTGCCTCTTTCTGGCTTGGATCTTTGGTACTCTCCCCAACACAATGTTCCTTTTTGAGTTGGTTCTGATAGGCTTCGCGTTTGGCTGTGGCATCATGGTTGGGTGACACTACCATTTCCAAAGAGGAAGGGGCTGCGTCCAAAGTTGCATCATATGGCAAAGTATCACAGGTGTCCGTCGCAGGAGGAAAAATTCCAGGAGCGCCTCCAGTAGATAAAACCACACGCGCACAAATGGATCTCCATTCGTACCTAAGGGTATGCATGCATATACTTGATCCAGAACAGTCATAGTTTTAATGACAACCCAACTTATAATATGCATAGGACATCATAGCACCTTAGAACACATTTTGTCAGGTGTTGGAGTCTCTTCAGTCAAAACTTGGAGCCTGTATGTCCTGAGAGCGGTGGAGATCCAGCGGACATGTCCATCTTCAGTCGTTTTTGTTCCTGGATCCTGGGTCGGTTCGGGCAGTAAAGTGTGGGAGCCCAAAGTATTTGTTTGCATTGTAAGAATACCAGTCCAACAAACATAGCACTACTTAACATTCCAGATTTTTTACATACACACATCCCATGTGTAAAAATCAAACATCACAAATGCAATCGAAACTCTGTGCCAACGCTTTCATCATCTTCTTTCGCTTTTCAACCAGCTCCTCCTTACCTCACACATGTAAGAATCCGACATAGCTAAACACATGAACATTGGAGGATAGTGGAGGTGATGTATTTTTGTTATATAAATTTCAAATCACCATGATGGTTTTAAAGTAGAGCAACCTAAGGCAACCAAAGTACTGGGTCCATTTTTAGCTGCATCTTTAGAGCTAGATGGCTGCTTGGCTTCGCTATGCTGATGCGTCTTGTTGGGCTGATTGCTTTCTGAGCTCTGTGACTGCTGTGGGGGTGATTCAGGTTTGGCATCAGAAGGTTTGATTTCGGGAGTTTCATTCACATGTTCTTTGGTCTGTTTGGCTTCCTGGGGGGGACCTGTCTTTTCCTGTTCTGGCTTCTTGTCACTGTTGCCTGCACCTTCTGGGGTCCCATCGTTTGGCTTGGAAGTAGCAGAAGGGGTTGAAGCGCTTGGGGGATTGCTTGCTTGCAACTGCTGTTTTTGCTTCTCTAGCTCCTGCTGCTGCTCCTCGACATCTCCAAGCTCATCTTTGGCCTCCTCATCCCACTCGTCCTCATCTTTATCAGGTACTTCTGGTAGGTCCTGTGCTGAACCAAACCCGAAGCCCCATGAAACCCATACCCCGAAAAACGCAAAAGAGTGGACAACAACAAAACAACAAACCTGCACATACCTGCGCTAAATTAGTGTGGTTTGATTTATCAGGACACACATTATTTTTTACATTCTCCAAATTCGGACCATGCATGCACCCAGCAAAACAAACAACATATCCTCCTTCGAACCGCGTTTCTTCTTGGCCAACTCCCTCTCCACCACTGCATCGACGACCGCCTACGTTGTATGCGATGACTTGGGGTTTTCTGGATTTTCATGTATGGAACTGATGAACTCTTTTTTTTTGTGGAACTAATGCATGCCATATGGTACGTTATATATCCTTTGAAAGATGAACGAAAGAACCTTTTTTGAGTGCACAACATTGTACAACCATTTTTGACCGCACATGCAATCCAACATCGACATGCGTGGTATGCATGTATGCCCCTATCCTGCAGCATTGGGTTCAGAATGAGGACCAAGTTCTGGAAAGTTTCAACCTGAAATGAAATTGGGCATGTTTATGAAGGATTTTATTGAAATATTGCCGGCCGAAAAAGGTTGAAATGAGAAATGTGTTTGAAGGAAACTGGCAAATCAAAATGTTCAAAACAAAATGGGCAAGTAACCGTTGAGACTTCCTCTCTTCGACATTTCATCTTTGCGAATCCCAACATTTTCTTAAGCCTCCATGACGATTTCACAATTTCGTCTTGATCTTCAGGTGAAACCCCTCGCTTGTTTTTTGCGTACACCTTTTCCATTTCAGCACGCAATTCGTCGATGGGTGGAAGGGGTTTGCCATCCCTGAGACTCATCCTGGTAAGTATGGGGACCAGAAGCGAAGAACAGGAACAACAACCCTGAACATCATCTTGAACAGCTTCTGAACCGATAATGTATTGTCCATTCCTCAAACGATCCCGCACATCATCACAACCATCCCATTCATCAGCTACTCCTGAGATATCCAAAGGTTCAACATCAGCTCGCTTCGGCGGCATGAGGTCGTACGCGGTACTAGCTCTGCCCTATAAATGCCTGCGGAAACACATCAATCATGATTGTACCATTTTTTCGGCGTGTGCGTGTGTGCATGCACAACCATCCAAGTAAGCCTACATCAGATGTATATTATTAATATCATATATTATTAATATCATATATTATAATTAATATATATCCTACGCTTCCAAACCTTTAGAAAATGTTGGTTGAGAAGTCAGACCTCTAAAGTGCAATTGCTCCAAGTGTTATGATGCCCCATGAAGTTTGATCCCTTGATGGCCGTCAATGGCTCCAGGACCCTCGGATTCTTGGGCCCCAGACTCTATTGCACGGTGATGCGCTCGGAGAAAAACAACTGGCCCACGCGGCCGGTTTTGGAGTGGTATCATGTGTGGTGATTCCAAAACTTCCACATCGCTTGGGTGGATTAAGATTCCTATGTTGCCTTTCAAGGAGTGGTGATTTGTGAAACATAGACCATTGTTTTCCCCAAAAGGGGTACATCCACCTATTGTAAATCCTTGTCTTAACCTATACCTGAAAGATCTCTTCATGGTCTTGGTCCAGAGATTCTTGGACCTGTGCGAGGCATCGGTCGATTCCCCTGGGTTGGAAAGGGATTATATAAACCATATAGATCTTAAATTATTTAGAATATTTCAAATAACACACCAACAAAATCACATAAATATCTTTAAACTTGGGCCCCAGTGGTAAACCCGAGGTTTCGGGAACAAACCCGATGTTTGGCCTATAGATGCTTCCAAACACGAGGTCTGACTTCTCAACCTACATTTTTCTAGGGTTTAGAAGCTTAGGGTATATATATATTAACCATATAACCATATATCATACCCATGGCTTCTTTACATCAAGTAACGTCCAGTGATGAATCATGATGAATCCCTAGGTGAGACTGTGAGAGCCGAGACTGCGCGCCTGGATTCTCTGCAAAGAATCGGACAAGGATTTGCCGAAGTGATCCACCTGCGCCTGTCAACGTGATGCAAACTGAAGGAATTGGAAAGCATCAAAAATAGAGAAACATAGGGAAACATAGGGAAAACTGTCTGGGCAATTTCTGGTGAGCTTAGCTCAGATACTTTGTGAAAAAAAGGCACCATGTGACATATCCCTCCATTTCAATCTATATCACCTATCAATCTAGCAGTTAAGCTTTGGACCAGTGACGAGCATGCAGGCCCCGTAAACTGCAGCTGGACTGGGAGACTGGGAGGTTTGGGGTTGGGTTGACGACCGTTCTGCGCATCCCAAGAATCGACTAGTGGTTAAGAACCCATATGGTTCCCATATACGCATGCACTTGTGGCTAAGAATCCATGTGTATATTCTTATATACACACATAAATACATGGGATAGATATATAATGATATATAGGAATAGATTATATATTATGATATAGTTATTATATTACTGTATAAAATTGATAACAGGTCACCAGTAGCCACTGCTTAAGCATCTTAAGCCTGGTATGATCCGAGTGCCCCTCGAATCCGCCTTGGCGTTGAAAATCATGTCCCGGTAGAACGTGTCCAGCTGTGCACCTGGAGCTGTGGATTTTCCTCATGGTTTTCCGTTCGGACGATATTCATGGTGGGTAAACTCCACATTAGGGTACCGGGTAAACCATGCATGGTAAAGAATTGGAAGGGGGTTCCCAGCCCCATCCAAAATTGTCAAGCAGTTGGGATTTCACCTTTGAATCACCTTTGAACAGGGTATATACAAATCAAATCAATTTAAATCATATTAAAACATATATTATTTTGGCTAAATCATCGATACAAGAGTTTGTCAAAACAATCCGACAACATCCATGCTAAACGACTCTGCAACAAACTGTGTCAACAACTACGTATTCTCAGCAAAGCCAAAAAAATGGGAACAGCCAAAGAGAGGAAATCTGCTGCGTCTGCCGGAGGCGTAGTGCCTCAAAACTTCTGGTAATTAAATCGACATCAGTTGGTGGATGGTTCAGCAATACTTGGTTTTCAGATTCAACCGCTGAATTTTGGAATGTTCTCCAAATGTCAATGGATTGGTTTAAGGGAAAATCTTAACCGGAAACCATCAATTTTTCCAAAAAAAATAGGGGGTTTTCCGTCGTAAATGTTCCCTTAAACCAATCCATTGAAAATGAGCCACTGGCATTTTGTTACCGCCAATGAAACCTGGCATGGACATGATTCCCCTTTGAACACCAAGCAGCCCTAGCAGCTCAAGTACCTGTTAGCAAGGTTGATCCTAACGATATCCCCATAACATGTTACTAAACCTTAGATGATGAATGATGATGATGGTCAAAACTGACATTTGATTTGTCATAGGTGACTAACCAGTATTGACAAGTATGCTTAAATCACAAGTGTTGAAAAACTGTTGAATCACCATGTTCTGGTGAAATCAAAGCTTTAATAATCTTGAATGGTCAAATCCCACGCAAGTTTATACACGACTTTTTCTCCACATTCTAGTTGCAAAACAAAAATCCATTGTTAGATGGTGAAATCCAATATGTTGAAACATTTTCATGAATAAATCAGAACATTTTTCAGCATATTTCTCAATATAATTCCAAGCCGAGGCACCAGGGTCACCAGTGTCCCGGCTCAGCAGTTCTAAGCGTTGCATCTGTTCAACCTCGAGGTCACCAGCATGTGCTACTCCAGGATGGCTACATACTACAAGTATATACGTCTTTCTATGATACATGTTTATTATTATATATATATATATATCACATAATAGTGTATTAATATATGATATAGTATGTGTATGTTTACTTTCTCAGGATAATGTGGTTTCATAACCACTAAGTTATGACAGAACAATTGAGTTTATGGCTAATTTTTTGAACTGAAACACCTGGCATCACCTCAGTCATCGCCGTTGGGGATCCCGAAAACCATTCCGAGACCAGGGTCTGGGTGCTGAACGCCCAATACCTGGAGGGTTCCATATCATAGGGTCTTGTATCTCTCGTTGACCCTCACTTGACCCATAAAAAACCGCTGCCAAAACATTGAACTATTGCCGTCAATACCAAGTTCTATGATGTTTTGAAATTAAGGTTTTGTACCTTAACCCGTTTCGCCACCTGTTCCTGCCGTTGCTCCGATGAAAATGCGGCTGCCGGCACCTTGGCTTGGCAGCTGGGAAAATCGTCCTGAATCTTCTGGATCTGTAACCTGCAGTCTGCCGGTCATCGTGTGTTGGAGATCGCTGGAAAGTAGTGGACATCTGTCATTTTGACGATTTGTTTCACCAAAAACAATCAAAAACAAATGGGTTTATCCTTGTAGAAAAATCTGGCAAAGTATGGTAAAGTCCTGATTTTTGGGTGAATTTTGCCCAGAGTACATCAAGCAATGGCCAATTTTGTCTGCATAGATCCATGGCATTCCATGGCTAAGCTTAGATTCTGAATGAACAGAACATGGAAGATGTCTAGATCCACGGCAGTTTTTCCAAACACCACCTGGATCTAGAACCTACACTTCGGGTTAAAGCCTTGGATCTAGAATCCCCATAGGGCCTCGAATGTTTAAGGCATTTGACCGGAAACACAAACGACAAGAACCCACTTTTTGTACTGGTTCTGACTGACTGGTAGTTTGCATCCATCCTAAAACATATGAGATATACGACTCATTCGTTCCAGATCATCATCCCAACATTTATGGGAACAAAAAACATATTTGAACCACCAACCAGACTGGAACACCTGCTTTCCCACGGTCTTTTGATCTGCCAAAACCAATCAATGCTGAGAAGATACTGCTACCAATTTTATAGCGCATGGGTCAACACAATCTGTTGCTGATTGGTGGTTCCAACCCTACAACAGAATATAAGTCGTTGGTGGTAATCATCTCAATATGGGTCATCATCTTCAAACCCGAAGGGAGGAACCCAAAAAAATCGACCACTCCAGAGTCTAATGAAAACATCAGCCAGCAGCAGATACTGCAGGAAGATCTCGATGTCCTTATTTCGCACGCACGCAGCCCGCAATGGAGCACCATCGTTGGAGTGGCGGATGTCGACTAAACTAACAGGTACCCACGGTTAGTTTGTTGTCCCGGCTGATTCTTCTTGAGTCGGTGTGTCTATTTTCTTTCTCATAAGACATGGACATATTCCCCGTTGTAGAATCTCTCCTGGAACCCTGCAAACACAAGGCAGGGCTCGCCATGCAATCATTTTGGCAGATCGTTGTCATCCTCTATGGATGAGTATGATTCAAACATATCATGAACATGTATATAATAACATTGCATGTGTTTTGTTTCAAGGATGTGTTTATCTATACATAAATAACACATAATACATGTATATACGTATATATATATACATATGAATATACATGGATATGGCTACAGCGAATGCATATACTGTAGGATAGATATAGAACTTGCACATCAATTTTAACCATGCATTGTAACTTAAAGAACTATAGCAAGATCTCTCGCATCTTGACGTTCAAGGTACAGGAACCCAAAAACATAACAGGATACAGAAAATCTAGCAGCCTCCTTAGTAACAGGCATGATTGATGCATTCTGTGAGCTTATAGCCTCCTTAAACTTTCCTTGATTGGTTTGTTTTTTCCTTGGATTTTATTTTCCTTTGTTTCTCCCTTGGAAACCAAACAAAACCAAAGGAAAACAAAGGAAACCACAGGAAAACCATAGAATCCACCCAGCCCCAAACCAAAGAAAATCAAAGGAAACCGAAGGAAACCGAAGGAAACCGGAGGAAACGAAAGCAAATCAAAGGATACCCTGCTGTGAAGAATGCATGTTCCAGTGATGTTACTAAAGAGTTCCTATGAGAGGTCTTGTATAAGAAGATCGGGTGTGGTTGAAAATTGATAAATATGGAGCATCCCCAATCCAGCATTTTTTCAAACCACATGTTTCCAATTTTAACCACAAGTGGCATACCACACTTTTGAGAAAAAACACATGATCAATCATGATCATGTGACTGTTACTGAAAATCATCTCCTGGCTTTCAACTGGCCTCTGTATGAAAATCGGAGGCCTCCAAAAGTTTAGCCTGCAGTAAAACAAACATAACAATGGAAATAGTCCATTTATAGACAATTAACTTATTAAACATGGTGATTCTCAATAACACATATATGATGGTTTACCAAGGGGTACACGTATCATTTTTTTCGACGCGAATTTGAGGGTGCACCCCATTTTCAAACATTTTGTTTATCAAAATAGTATCCATATTTATATAATGGTTGGAAAGTGCATTACATCCCATTGAATTCTATATAAATAGATTTAAATTGTGATTTCCTTGTAGTTTTACTATCAAGCATGTTTTGCAATAGTGATAATATCCCATCCCATCCTCCCAAGAGGAAAGTGCTTGGGTATACCATTGCTATACCCATCAATATAACTTATAGCGCATCACTACAATCAGCATAAAACTATATCCATCTATATCCCATTTCTAGTAAATTCTACCCTATATCCCAATGTTATGGCCTTGAAATTCCTATGGTTAAACGCATCAAAGGTGACATCAACTGCCGAGAACGCCATCCGCTGCCCATATCGCCAAGCCGCAGTCGGTGCCGCCGCGTCCACCAGCTGCTGATGCTCTCGTAGCCAGTCACACACTGGCCGCGACGAGGCCTGGCGGTGTAGATCGATACATATCCAGATATGATACCCTCTGGTAAACTAACATAACTATGGAAAATCACCATTTTAATGGGTAAATCCACTATAAATGGACATGTTCAATAGCTATGTTAGTTTACCAGAGGGTATATCTATCCATCTATATATAGAGGTATACATATTTAGAGGCTTAGATGTACACCAATGGACATGTTTACCTATCCACATATCTATGATATATAGATATGTGTATATAATCATATTTATATATATATGGAGGTTTCCTAAAATAGGGGTACCCCAATCATCCAAAATCAGACTACTTTAGTATTGAAACCCATGGTTTTGGGGTACCCCATTTTAGGAAACCTCCATATAGACTTATACTTATAGCTACTTTAATATACATACACCAAGAACTAACCAATCAACAGCACCCTCGCGGACTCGGATTCGCCAGCACCAAGCCCTGGCGCCATCGGGGCCTCAATCTCTTCTTGGGATCGATGCACCTCGCAGGGAATGACCAGAAAACAGACAGAGATCAACTGGAAATTAGGAAATATGAAATAATATAAAGATATCATATCTATATGAAAATATAAAGATTGTCAACTGGAAAAATATATATATATGGGCATATGCTATAAAATTGCATAAATATATCAAGAGTATCTATACCATCCTGGCTTTTCCAGTCCGAAATGCTCCTTGGTGCTGGATTCTGTACGAACATGTCCCCCACAAAATAATCCACATCATCTGTAGGCAAATATATCATACGTGGAGCCGAAAAGGGACGAGAAAATGTGTGGCCTCCACACTGGTTGATACCTAGAAGTACCTTGATTGACTATAGACATCTATAGACTATAGACTATGGTCAATCTTACGGTTTATTTGCTCATGGATGCATGTAGAGTTGATTGGTGAAAATTAATAGTTTACCATAGTTTACCAATGTAATAATTGAAAATGGTGATTTTCTGTAGCTATGTTAAATTTCATAATTATCAGAGGGTACTTCTGTGATTCTGTGATGTAGTTTTCACTCCTGAAACGGAGAAACACCAGCTTTCTCGGATCATCCTTTGATGCCCACGACATCTCAGGGGCCTTAAATTTGCCAATCTTACCCTGCAACAAAATAGATAATTCTTAGTTGGTTAGTAAGTAAATTATCCCATACCATCCAACACTAAAGGATTCGCTTCTACCCATCCAGTTGATTGACCTAGTATTTCTATCTTCCCAGCTTTCTTGTCTTCCCAGCTTTCTTGTTTGGTAGCTGATCCCCCAAAGTCTTCCACCATGGCACTAGTTCTTGCAGTCGATCGTGACATCCGCCATTGAGATCCTGGTGCGGCATCGCATGGTCCAAAACATGACATGGTCACTCCGTGAACGACGGGTACCTGGCGAGCTAGGGCCACATCCAAATGTACAGTGATTATCATTTAATATAAATTCTAGTAAATTCTCATTTATAATATAAATTATGCGTCAATCCGCCACCGAAAGGTGCCGGGCTGTAACAAAAAAGTGTCGAGCCAGAGGAGTCTGTCCCCATCTCCAGAGAGTAGATGAGGTACCAGTAAACTAACAAGACCATCAGGTGGACAATCCACTATCTGTAGATCATTTTCGGACCAGAACCCATGGCTTTTCCAGAGCTATGTTTGTTCATCCTAGGGAAGTATCATATGTAAGATGCTGGAAACATTTTTCTATGAAATTTTGGTCAACAACTCTTGTACCGCGGTATCGGTCCTTTTTCAGGGTGACACATTCCAGGATCAAAATCCCTTGCACCGTATGCACTTCCTGTCAACGGTGGCCAGGTAGAGGGATGAGAAATCATCCATTGCACATGGGAGAAACATGAAAGAAAATATGTAGACAAAATAATCTGCCCAAAGTTGGCTTTGATATCATTGAAATGTGTGTGTGTCTGTATATATATACAGTATATATATATATGCATATAATTATATAAAATTATATAAACAAATACACACACACACATTTCAATCACACTGCCAGGTGGTTTGGGGTCCAATCATCTCCTGCCATGTCTGATTCCAAAGTTTCAAAATCACTTGCCAATTGGCCGAAATGATTTTCTTTAAAATCAATAATTGGTGAGCTGACATTTTCTCCACTTCATCAACCCCAGGGATCCAGATGCAGCATAAAACCCCAGGTATCCGAGGCTACGTTGTGAAGCCTATGAAGCGCAGGTTGGTCGTTTAAATTCCTCATAGGCCACAGCTTGTGCCCTAATGTTTCTCACCGAGGTGGCAAAATCAAAGTTTTTGCGGGGCAAACAACAAACGTGTTTTGTATTCATTTGGGTCTTTCTGGGAATGGGGTATACCTTGACATGGATTCTTAGCCAAAATTTGGGATACCATAGTCTCAGACACACCAAGTCGTAAAGTGTAGGTCATTTTCCTCAAGAAACAAATGCGGGTTAAACTGAACAATGTGTATTGTGCAAGTCCGTCATTGTAAAATATGTGTGTCCATCTTTGAAAGCAAACTGTTCATACTTGGTTCTGGCTAATCATGTTCATCAAAAACAATGCTGTTAATGTAGTATCATATTATAATGTTGTTTTTTTAAACAAAAGCTAAACATTGTATGTACAACTGTACTTTTTCTATACCACTAGTGTCTATTGTCACAAAAATGATATTTGGTTATATCATGTTATATCTACCAATAGTTATAAACAATAGTATATATATACATATATAGTATTACAATGTATTACATCATATTTACAATTACTATAAACTATCATCAACTATCATTATTATACCACTATTGTTCATCCTTTATCTACCGTTCTTGTTTTCGACGTTTCGCCCGGCGCCTGTATCTCCTTTACCGCCTTCATTGTCTCGCCCAAGGCAAGCATCTGAGACGCCAACTCCTTGCGTTGTGATGGACGGGTTCAAGGGGAATATCATGGTTCACGTCTACAAGGTGGAGCCCTCAAAGGATAGCTAAGTTGGTGTTTAACTTGATTAACTACTAAAGTTATAGGATCTATAGTGATTATGACTCGAAACTACTCGGATATATGGATTTTATGGTGATTATGACTAGAACATCTAGAATGAAGAATTGGGATGATAATCCAAACTTGGAACTGGGGCATTGGCTTATCTGTTGTGGTCCTAAAATTTTGCGGCATTCATCTAAAATCATCTATCATCCTACTCATCTAATTCTGGACAGATAGATACTGTCTGTATTTTTGTTTAACGAAATATCTTTGAATTCAATGGTAGATTCGGTATAGATATATCAGTAGTTGGATGGCCGAACACCAACCGTCTTATGGCTCGGGGGGTCCTCTTTAGAGTCGGAACTATGCAACTGTGACTTTTTTCAGGGGAACCCGGGGAACCCGGGGAACCCATTCCTCTATCTGGGCACAAAGAAGCCATGTCCAAAACATGCCAGGAATATACCAATGTTTGTAACATTTCGGAGATGATGACCCATCCTATGAACCATTCTGTGGCGGAGATATCTGTGGCCTCGGCCGCTTCCTAAAGCCCATGATTCTTGGTGAAACCAAAGTTTTCGCTCCAAACAATGCCGAAGGTGTTTAGATCTCGTCCACACCCAATCCCAAATACGCCGGTGCTGGGAGATTGAACAACAAGTCTATGATGAATGCTCCCAGCACTCCAGATGCCAATTTCCACCTCTTGTGGCTATCATGAAGCCACAGTGAGTCCATGTGAGTCCCAGAAAAAGCCTTGCCTGGTGAAATCAACATTGATTGTTCCTGCCCAACTTCTCTTAAAAATCCAGACTTCCTGGTGTTTAAAATTAAATCCGATAAAAGTCACCATTAAAACCACCATGAAAAATGCCCATGTTAGCATCATCAAATCACCATTAAATTCCAAGTTGTGTTGCTCAAATCCCGGAAATCGTTGCTGCCTCCAGGGGCTCAGCCTCAACAGTCAAGGTCAAGGCGTCGCAATAGTTTTGCACCAAGACCTGGCCAGGGCGCTCAGATGAATTTGGATATCACCATGACATATTAGTGTTAATGTACATCATGTACATTGTACTAGTGTAAATATATATATATAAATACATAATTATGTATATATATATATATATCCCATACATGTTGATGTCCTTCAGCTTTTTTTTCCCCACCTGCAGCTGCTCCTCGATCGACTTCAACACCTCTGAGGCCAGGTTCAAACGATCCAGCAGCGCCATCAACGCCTTTTGCGACGGCTCCTGGGCAGAGAAATGCGTGTTTTTTCTTTGAAAAGATGACTGGTTTTCCAAACATGGCCTGAGTTGACTTTGGATGATTTATATTGATGTATAGATGTGAATATATCAACATATATAGAGAGGTGAGTTGATTTAGGATGATTTACGTTACGGATTTCAAACACCTTTAGATCTGAGATCTTGATAGTAAAACACTGGAAAGACATGTCTAGCAGGCCATGATTATGATAGATGTTTAGCAAGCTATGAGAGATTTCTTTACATCTGACATGTGGTCAACAAAATCAGAACCATGAGCGAATTCACAACAAAAAACCTGGGTGGCTCCCAAAAATATGTTGCAGGTGCGATCCAGCTTCAGAAGTGTACTGGGTTTTGTTCACTCCACTCCTAACATGACCCTTGCGCTGACAACCCCCAGAAGAATGACAAAAACACATGTCCAACAGGATTTACATGTTACATGACTACATACAACATCATATAAGTACTAGAACCCATACGATAATCTCTTCCAACAAGTGAATGACTGCATCTCTCAATTGGACAAGGGAAGGTCTTCATCATTTCCTTCACGACATCTCACGACTCGCACCTCTATGTATCTAATCACCAGTTCAGTCAGGTCATGATTAGAATTTACAAGACAAGAAAGGAAACTCCATCCATCCATTTATCTCCACTCGTGTCTATGTTATACAGTTATACACATGTGAATGTTTATAATATATGGCGGTTGATCTAAATTATTTCATCCAGAAACGGCGATTCTTCGCAAACTACAATTCTACTCTCGCGAAACTGTGGCAAACTCCACGTGCTGCTTTTGATTCTCATGCGGTGACTCTGCCAAACAAGGATAAACATGGCCGGATCAAACGTGGCATGCATCTTATGAAAACTCATCTCACTTGATTAGTGAGGCTATACAAGTCAACATACTTAAAAAAAGGGTAATATAATATATGGTCTTTTTTAATGGGTAAATTTAGGACAATTTAGGCTTGTGTATCTTATCTGGTCCCTAGGAAGGCAAGGAGGTATGCTTGTTCCGATGTTCCAATGTTGAAATGAGAAGCTTATGGACAGTACATACAATATACATGGCTAAACTATAAACAATTTGCTAGCCTGAAAATAGCTGACTTGTGGCCACTTGTGGATGATTCATGATTATTCCCCTTACTAACAAAACGCACAGACACCCCGTGTCGCCCAACATCACTTTTAGGCTTCCAAGGCTTTAGGGTTTAGAATTGGAGTTTCCAGGTTTATGTGTTTAGGGTTTGAAATTTGTTAGGGTTCAGGACGGCTTGTGCAAGGACGCACAGGTCCCATACCTGTGCTTTTCAGGAGTGCCTCGGGCAAGATGCCAGTGATGTCTCAGTGAGGTCACTGTGATTCATCCAAATTATGAATCATCATATACTCAGTATATCTCACTAAAACCTGCATGTGTAAAAAATGTCCAATTGCCATGTTTGGCTATTAAAGGGTTCTTGGACTTGGTGACCTATCCAATAGGTAACGGGAACATGAGGGTGTATGAACATATACAGGGCCTCCCAGTTAGGTTTGTTGGTTTAGAACCCCCAAGAACGAGTTCGTTATAGGTCTCATAAACCGGAGTGAAATTGGAATTATATATGTTCACCAACTTAGCTATCCTAGATCAGCTATAAATCCCATTAATTTCCCATTTTCCTATGGTTTCCTATAGGCTTTCCTATAGTCATACCATATAGCAGAGCCAGTCCTCCTCCAGGACGTCGCGAGAGAGTTCATAGCAGGGCCAGTGCCTTTCATGGACTAGCGTTGGTTTTGAGAAAAACTCTTGGATTTCTGGTTTATATGTGTATATAATTGTATATATATATAATATATTATACAGCTGACTGGGTTTATAAAGCAACAAACACAACTGAGGGACCACTTTGTGGCTCTGTCGGACTGCGAACACCTATGATTACCATATTTGAGGGAATATCCATTCACCAGCGATTTCTACGGTACCTAAGCCTAGGGTACCCCGGGTTTCTACATAGATCCTGGACCCGCCAACCAGCCAAAGTTGAGCACATGGCATCAATATGTCTCCAAGGCTTGTGGGGAAAAACAATCACAATCCTGGTCGTTACAGGATGTACATATTTGGGGGGTTCCATAAATGGGGGTACCCCAACATGGATGGGTTCATAAGGGAAAATGCTACTAACATAGATGATTTGGGGGTACCCCTATTTCAGGAAACCCCATATTAGCAGATACTGCTGGTCAAATAGATCTGATGGTGTGCGTCCTTGGTCGGTTCGGTTTGTCTAGACAGATCGGTCACATCTCAGTTTTTATCATGTTCCCTGCAAACAGTTCACTGGAAATTAATCAGCAAACATGTTCGCCGCAACCTGGACGTTTGCCCGGAGTTGATGTCCGCCTTCCTGATTTTGATCCCTCATGAAGATAAAGTTGATGTTATTACCCCATTCAACATAGTGGTCATAGGGGGTGGCGAATTTTGATCCCTCATGAAGATAAAGTTGATGTTATTTCCCCAATCAACATATTGTTATGAGGAGGTGGCAAATTGTGATCCGTCATGAAGATAAAGTTGATGTTATTATCCCATTCAACAGCGGTCATAGGGAGTCGCAAATTTTAATCCCTCATGAAGAGAAAGTTGATGTTATTATCCCAATCAACGTATTGTTCAGAGGGGGTGGTGAATTGTGATCCCTCATGAAGATAAAGTTGATGTTATTTCCCCAATCAACATATTCTTCTGTTATGTCACAATCATGAGTCTGGGCGAACGTTAAGGTTGCGGACAACATGTTTAAGTAATCCGTTTCTGCCAAATCATTTGGGTTGCTGTTGGTTTCCGGCTCCAAACAAAAGCACCGTGTTGCTATATTCTAGATCTTACTTCATTGAACGTATAGAAATTTCAATCACCAGGTTTCATTACCGGGCTTGAATTTCGCGGCTTAACTCCAAATGTTCAAGTGTGAATTACCATGTTTTTTCCTGGTTCCTAGCCCCACTCTCGAAGGTGAACACCTTTCAATCCCCATGAAGTCCCGAAGTCCACATATATGGCCCTTAACAGTTATAAATGGGATTATAGCTCAAGCAACCAAGGTTATACATCACCTAAATGAGTTTTTTTTTCCAGTTATCACTGTTAAGGGTAACTGTAGTGCTTATGATCATCATGTTCCAAGGAAAATCCACATATTTTCCTTATTCCTGTTGGTTATATGGAGGTTTCCTAAAATATGGGTGCCCCAAAATCATCCATTTATAGATGGATGTTCCGTGTTTATTTCACCATCCATATTTTTTTTGGTACCCCCATTTTAGGAAACCTCCATATGTGGTTATGATCATCATGTTTCAATCTAAAGCCGTTGAGAAATCCCCACTTTTTCAATGACGAACTCCGGAACTCAGCCGAGCTTCGGTGACTCTGAGTGCGACTCGGAAAAAAAACGGTTGGCTGTAGCCACCTGAAGGTACTGGCCATGGCTACAACATGCAAAAACCATGGGAAAATGGTGATAACCATAGGAAAACCATTGGAAAACCATACGTAAATGGTGATTTAACTAACAACGACGGTGAGATGTTCGGGGAATTATAGCAACAGTAGGGACTTAATACTCCCAACTGTCTCTAGGTCACCTCCTATGGCACCATGCAAGTGTTTCAGGGTTATACAATGTTATACATATATAATCATATATACATACGTTAACATATACAATGTATATCCATGTATATATAATATGTATTTATCAGCCAATGTTCGTTGGTGAATCTCCGCAGTTTTACAGCTTGATCTCCCTTCGGATCTACCCCACAGGTGGTCTGATTTCCTTCGGTTTTGGAGGAAGGACACCAAAAAAGAAGGTGAAAGTTATAAGGTACATATCGTCTACAACATCTGCAACATCCTGGTTTCAAACTGTTCTATATGTTCAACATTATTTGTGAATCTTCTTGGGGACCTATATCCATGGCTAAGTTGGATATGTTTATTCCCAGCAGATTAGTCCATGTTTCCCTGCAAAACAAAGAAGCAACTAATTTACCCAATGCTCACACCTAGTTGTGGCGACATAGATTTTAGCAACCCAACCGAAAGATAGAACAGTAATTTGGTAGGACTTTGTTATAAACACTATTATTGTAGGACTAGTGTACTATTTATATCACTATTCAGATAAATATATGTACTATAAAAGTACTATAATTGAATATAGAACATACATATTTATATCACTATTGTACTTTGGTAGGACTGAAAACTTTTTGGCATCTGGATCGTTGCTATACCGTGCCCCCGGAATATCTAACTCGCCTTCGGCCATATGGTCATGATCAATCCATATATGCCATGAATATTATATTATTAACATTTATATCCAAAGAATTCCTAAGATTTAATACATTAACAAATATGATTGGCATATATATATATATGTGTATATATATATAGTGTGTTTTCTCTATGGATTTTCCCCTCGTGATTTCCCAGTTGCCTCGGACCGGCCAAGGGCCAAGTGGCTTGACGGTATAACAGCAAGGAACGACAGCATGAAGGCATCCTGAAGCACCATGGGCCATGGCAAAGAGTGTGAAACATGGTCCTTTTTTTCGTTGGAGAATGCTGAGAATGCATCATTTCAGATCATGTCCAGGTCTTCAACTGATGGATCTATTCCTTTTTGGTGCTATAAAGATCTATATAAAGGCTATAATATGGTATAATCATGGGATTCCCAATGGGAGATACTGGGATTCACAACAAAAATCAGGCTTTCTCCCTGGCCCAGGAAAACAAAAACCATGGAAATATGGCGAAATATGGGTACCCTCTGGTAAACATACAAAAAGTTATTGAAAATGGCCATAGAAAACGTGGATTTACCCATTAATAGCATGGTGATTTTCCATCGTTTTTTGTATGTTTACCAGAGGGTTTACCCCACTGTGGCTATGATTCACCCATGCAAAGCCTGGTTGATGAATTATTAAAGGGGGTTACCCTCGAACCAAACAAATGAGATGTTACCATCACAATTTAATCCCTCAAAATAAAAACACAACGCTTACGCAATATTCAGCCCGGGTTGACACTAGGATGCATTCCCAACATCTTAATCACCAAGGATCCAATGTTCGTTGACAGTAAAACGTGCTTGAGACCACCAACGTGCGTATGTTTGATTACAAAAATGCACATCAATATACCTGCCCTTTACACAATGATACTGCAAAAGGCATTATCAACAATAGTATATATATATATATCATATATCCGTTGATGATAATGCCTTCCCTTTACTATTTTAAATAGCAAATACCCCTATAGAAAACATGGCTTTCGGATCTATTGATTTTAGCGTGGGCGCCGGGTGATGCGCCCCTGTCCCAATCAAATGACTTTTTAAGTTAAAAAAAAAACAACCCATTTACATATATATATATACTGGTTGGTGGTGTCAACCCCTCTGAAAAAATATGAGTTCGTCAATGGGAAGGATTATCCCATATATATATATACATATGTGTAATATATATATATATGTATATATATATGTATATATATATATGTATATATATGGAAAAATAAAACATGTTCCAAACCACCAACCAGTATATTATATATATATATATATGTATTTGATAGACATAATATTAATAGTGTATATAAACGATTTATGATCTTATACATTGTCCTGCTGATGTGGCACCTGTCCTGAGAGACTGCAGGCTGTTGATGTTGCTGGAGATGGCTTGAAGAATCCATCTCAGAATGTCCTGCCGACAGGCGGTGTCAACGCGTAAGGACCTATAAAAAACGGCCAATCTTGAACGCCGGAACGCCCTGTAAAAAAAAACAAGTTTAACTGCTCTATAATCTATGTATATCTATATAAATATCCACATGTAACTTAAGATCTGTAAACAATGTACAGATATGCCCATATATGGCATAGAATGACGTTGTCTTTAACTACCCATGCAGCCGGTTTTCTACTACTACGTATGTTTGTTGCTCAGTCAACTCCCATATGGCGATGAGAAAACCAGCATTTCTGTCCTTCCCAGAATTGGAAGGACAATCGGCAGGAACCGTCCCTATCTTTGGAGTACGTAAGAACCATGACTTTCTGCAAAGTGTCCCGCAAACCGAACCATTGAACCAAGAAATAGTTCAGACTGAAAGATAGATTGACTGGGGAAGTTCCAGGTATGTTACACGTTTTTTCAATACGATATATACCATTATACCACTATATGATATTATGTCTACATATTTTACAATATATATATATATATATGAGCAATATCCTTTACATCTCAGTAGTTACTATTATTGGTTATCGTTTTGTTGGGGTGCATATTGCTTTCCAGTATTTTGTGCCATTATCGCTTTTGGGGGTGCACATCTCTGACAGAAGTTCTTCTATGTGCTTCTGCAACACTACAGTGGTCTTCAACCATTTTGACCGTAACTAATATATATATATATATAGTTATATAGTTATATATATATATATTTGTATAATAACTATGTGATAGTATATGTCTACAATATGTTATGATAGACAAACATGCCGAAAAATCATTTATAACTGTGTACACTATGTGAGTAGCATTTCCTGTAATTATATAATTACTATTGTTTTAGGTATTACTACGTACCGTACTATATACACATACATTATATATCAATAAATAAAGGGATCCTTGACGAGCATTGTTCGCTGTCTAGTCACGGAAAGCTGAGGCTGTATCTCCACGTTTACAGACCTTTTTGTGATGTATTTTGAAAGCGAACCTACTTCCCGTTGAACATTTTCCCTACCCTATGTGTGACAATTTGCATTGATTCTCTGGCTAGTGTTAATCTTTCTGCAACCAGTACTGTACACATTCTACCAAGCCACTCTATTGCAAAAATGAAACCTGAAAGTAGTGCTGTAGTGCAAGAAACAACTTTTCATCTTGGTGAGTTTGTTCATTGCTAGACAAAGACACTGAAATATCACAGGGAAACATTCCCAAATCAAGGATACAACGTGGGGGAGAAGTACTGCATAATGGATCTGTATCTATTGAGAAGTTTCGCCACAGTTCACCCTGGTTTCTTTGGTCAATGCTGAGGGTGAATATATTTTATGCAAAACATAATCCGCAAATCTGCTTGAAAGTACTGGGCTGGTTGAATTCCTGGTTGCTGAGAAAAAATCCATCCTTTTGATCTGATTATGTTTATTAACACTGGTTCATCCCAACTTTTCACTGGAATCCCTGGTTTTGATGGTTGATATGCACTAGTCACCCAGTCACCCGGTGTCACCCAGTCACATCCTCCGTCCCCGGCGTCGCCGCCAGCCGCGGCAAGTTCAACGTGCCGCTGCCGGCACGGGCGCGGCGCGGCCAAAGGCGGAGGTCGACTCCTGTGGTGAGCTCCAACTGAAAGACCAGGTCCTGAGTGGAAAGAGATACCCTCTGGTAATTTAACATAGCTATAACATAGCTATGGAAAATCACAATTTTCAATGGGTAAATCCACTATAAATAGCCATTTTCAATAGCTATGTTAAATTACCAGAGGGTAATGATAATTAACCAGCTGACTGTGGATGGAAGAAATTTCAGCAGGAAAAATAAGCCCAAAGAAAATCCCCAACAGCAACAACTACATGAAAAAGTCAACACATGTTTGTTGGAATGATGTTTGAGAGCTGTTTCAGATAAACCGAGATAAGACCATCTGTCGGGAACAACAAAAACTTTGTTTGGACACCTGTGCCTGGACACCTTGCTTGCAAACCTGTTCCAGGGAGCTTTGCTTGGGAACCCTTGCTTGGTAACCTTGCTTGCAAACCTGCTCTTGGGAACCTGTTCCTGTGAACCTTGCCTGGGAACCTTGCTTGGGAACCTGCTCTTGAGAACCTTGCTTGGGAACCTCTTCGTGGGAACCTTTGGGAATCTTTGGGAACCTGTTCCTGGGAACTTTGCTTGGGAACCTTTGGGAACCTGTTCTTGGAAACCTTGCTTGGGAACCTCTTCCTGGGAACCTTTGGGAACCTGGCTTGGGAACTTGGCTTGGGAACCGGTCTTGGGAACCTTGCTTGGGAACCCCTTCCTGGGAACCTGGGAACTTTGGCAATCCGGATTTTGGCTGCTCCGACCTGCTCCGGGACCTTTACTATCGATATAGCTACTCAAACATGGCTAGCTGGAAAATCCATCATATGTATAGATGATTATAGATGTGTTTTCTCAGTTATAAGTTATAAACCTCCATTTATAGGGGATTTTCCAGCTGCCACGTTTGGCCACAGGCTAACATCATGTAGTCATCAACCACGCATCATTCATCACCTTTATGCCACTTTATGATACTTTATGCCCATATGTTTGATGGTCAAATATGTCAAACCCATCAAACCCATTAAATATTTGAGGTGCTTTCCGTGCTTTCCATACTGTACATGACCAGAGGGTCTCATCTATGAATCCTTTGCCCAACAACTCCACAACTCCCGGACCGCCGTCGACCAAATCGCTCTCCAAGGTGCCCGCAACTCCCGGCGATGTGCAGAGATGCGCCGGCGCACGGGTTCCTCGCTCCTGATGGAACCGCCAGGGCCAGCGAGATGGAAAGGCTGAACCATGTAGAAATACAAGACATATAGTGAATATCTAAATAATTATATATATATATATATACATTGACATATACATATATATATATATGATTATTAAAAAACTAAGATGTTATAATGTTATATGGTGTATAATATATAATATATTATGATGTGGCAATGAATGGATATAAGGATTATACAATGGCAATTTTTATGGGGAGTTCATGGGAAATTAAGCAACACAAAAGGGGATTTGAGATGATTTCACGGTGTTGAATTGCTCTTAACTTCACCAACAAACATAACTGGTGAATACTGGTGACAATTGGGATTTAACCAACAAACATGCGGATAACATGGCATATTCTATGAGAGATATAATGGAATATATTATTATTATTATTATCATTATTATTATATATATATATGTAAATAGGTACTCAAACATGGTTTGCAAGAAAATCCACCCACGTGATGTAGTTCGATGCTTGTCCGATTAAAACATCCCTTTATCCGGGATTTCCCGTTACGGGTGGGACTGTCTGAAAATATATTAAAGAGAAAATTGTGCTTTGAAGCAGTTGTTCTGGGGGTACCCTATTTCAGACAAACCCAATTTTGGAATGTTTAACCCAAAACATAAGATTCATGCTGGTAAATTGTCGTGAATGTCTGATGTTTAACAATTTGGTGGTGGATTGGTGGATAACACTTGCCAACATTTAACCCACACACGTCATGAAGGTAGACATATCACTATTATACATGGAGCATATGTGTTTGGAAAATTCATCCGAAGTCCCAAATCCCCATGTATCTGCCCCAGGATTTCAATGATTCTGTCCATAAGTTTATGTGTCAACTTGGTGTCAAGGTATGTATTTCTAGATATGGAATAAACATCACCAGGTCGACTTCAGGGTCGTCATATTTTTGTACGGATGGCAGATCGTTGCTGCCCCCCATATGGAGCAGTTTGTGAATCATCAGTTTGTGAATGTACATTCCCCTATATTCCATATGGAATCAATGAATGTTCCATACTGTTCCATTTATATCCAAGGGATGTTTGCAAATCCCCGTACCTTCTCAATGATATGTGCCCATCTCAACCGTTCTTTTGAGAAATGACGATTCATCGTTTGTCGTTCGTTGCACGTCGCGCATCGCGCACTGCGCGAATGTTGTCTTTGGAAGTCCTGGTAGAAGCATGAACTGTTCCAGCAGGATTCCCACATATTGATGTGCCTTTCTCAACTGCAAGTGATTTTCACAAGTTCGGGTCACATTTCAGATTTTATTTTTACTTGTTTGGCCGACCCTGGAGATGGATATATACCCCGCAGAAGAGCACATAACGCCGAACATTGTAAATACATGTAAATACCATGAAAACAGCCTATGTGCCAGTCTCAATGGTATGTACCCATCTCAAGGGTTCATGTGTATTTTTTCCATTTTTTTTTAGTCAAAAGAAAAATGGTTGAGAGCGTTTTGAAGAGTCTGTAGAATTGAGCTAGTCCGCAAAGCTGAGCCAACCCGTTAGGAAACGACTTCTTCCGATTTTCCATCCGTCGCGCGCCGCGTTTCCGGGATTTTTTATCTGGGATAAATTCTGGGAATAAAACATTTTCAGGCGAGCCCCTGAGATGGACACTTGTAACGAGATAGTCCGCAAACGAGCAAGGGCAAGAACCCTCATCCAGCCCTTTGATTGTATATGATTATATATGGAGGTTTCCATGAATGGTTTATTTATTTCATGGAAAATACATCTATAAAAATGGATTAATTATATAACTAGGCGTGCCCCATGGAATTGGAACCCCAAGCAAGGTTGACCCACCTTCACAGCACGGGGAGTCAACAACTTCAACAACCCAAAAATGTCAACAGGGCAAGCCCTCTTGACCCTGGTTGCATTGCTGAAACTTAGATATTCTGCAGTAAGTTCATTCTTCAGGTAAGATGTGATTCCCCCTCAAAAAAGGAGAGAAACAAACATTACTCAACCAAGGATAACCAAGGTTTACCCAGGTAAGATCCCAATGATCTGCACAGCTCTCAGAGAGGCAAGAACGGAGAAGTGTTCTGCAAGGACCATGTCTTGGACGATGCTCAGCCCAGTCCGTGGCGCAGCGCGTGGTAGAGGCAATGTCCGTCGCCAGGGTTGCGGGATCAAGGCAGAGTTTCTCGCGAATCAGGAGGCATTGAATTTTGGATCATTCCATACATTCACTGCATGAACTCTCATGAATTCATAGACTATGCCCTTTTGGAGTATTGTTTTGCAAGTTGAATGCTTGCTCAATTGGGCTTGCATGTATCGAAGAGAAGCCCCGAGATCGATCCTGGAACTTTTGTCTTCCGGTCTGAAGTCACCAACAGTGATACACAGCACAACTATGTGGCTTGCTAACAAGGAGTCCTTAGAACTTGATACGAAAATATCGGATCATGTTAGACAAAGGATTTAATAGTATCCCAAGTATTCAGAGTCTGCCCATCACCTCTTTTCAATACATACTTAAGTGTATCTTCAATCCACAAGACACGCATTATGCATCTGCCAATACGCAAAATATCACCCAAATGTGGCTAGATATTGCTACCATACAGGTCTGCGTCGCGTCTGCTTGTCAGGAAGATTAATATGCCAATGTCGAAAAATGCTTTTCAGTTTTAGGGGTCGTTGTAACTAATTGCTCATGTCACCTCCAGGCAAAAAGTGACAAGTATATAAAGCGTATCTAGTCATTGATCTAGACTTACATACGCAAGAACGAACCCCAAATTTTAAATGTGACCCAACAAAAATCTTAACAGATTTCAAAGACGAAACAAAACAAACATGTCGTCCATGACCCTATCATACTATTGAATATATTGCCTATTCAGTCCAAGTACCTCCAGAAAACGCTAGAGGTGCCAAAATCATATGCTTATATAAATATATGATTTAGGAGAAACAAAAAGTATATAAATCAATAAGCGTCTTGCCAAGATGCAATACCAGTGCTATGAATCAGCTAGTCTTGCACCATTTGAAATTAGAAGAATAAAGGTACGTCTCCCTATTGTTTATATCCCCATTGTATACCGTAAATACCGGAAAATCCTCACAAATTTGGGTGTGTCACGGTTCATCATCTTTTCCATGAAAACAACGAGCTATCCTCAAACATGGCAATGTTAAACATCCACCATTTAACAAAACGATTCAAGCCTATGGAAAAATCATTTGTTAACATATATGGTTGGTGGTTTCAAGCCCTCTGAAAAATATGAAAGTCAGTTGGGATGATGAAATTCCCAATATATGGAAAGTCATAAAATTCATGTTCCAAACCACCAACCAGATATTATGTACAAGTAACATATTAAAACCTCCATCTGAAGAGGAGATTCGCCACATTGGATTCCCAGAGGGTAAGGTCCACACCTCGAACTTCGCCACTCCGTGGAACGGAAGAATTCCCGCGGCCGCGAAAGTAGGGCAGCCGCGAACCTCGACTAAAAAAAGGCTTGGAGAAACGTGGAACATCCTGTACTTATGATTCATGTATGCAGGTGGATAATGCCATAGTTAGCTAAGTTAGCGTTTTTTGTCTAAAATGACTGGGGTTTACAAGGCCTTTATCACTAGTTGATGGGATTAGAGACCAACAAACATCACGGGGGATACCACCCTGTGGCTATATGCTATGCCCCTTTGGGTGTTGGACGAACCTGTTTGGGGAGCATCCATGGACCCATGTCCATCGTTCTACAACCCGTTATCAGGGGGTAAATTGGGCATTTGTGACAGACATGTTGCTATGAATGCATGGGGCATATAGGTCTTGCCTTCCAGTAATCAAACATGGCTGGCAAATTCCATGATTCATGGGGTCTCTTGCGGTAAAATTGTCCATAAACTCTTGTACCCTGCAATTCACACTCAAATAGTTGGTACTTGTGGACTCTGGATGTTGCCCCAAAAAAATACAGAAACGCATGGGTTTTGACCCGTGCACAGGTGTCGCAATCATGTAATTTGGCATAAGTTTTGCGTAAAATGGCAATATATCATCATATCACGATTAAGTATGATTAAGTTGTATCTAGAATATCTCATTCATATCAAAATATGTCAATACATATTCATATAATGTAGATGTCAACATCTATCAGTCATATCATATTCGCACCATATGCTCCATGCACGGTATGCTTACCTACATCAGGGTCATTTTTGGTCTAAAATGTTGGTAAATATTCTAGCACATGTGGATGTATGAGAATATATATATATTATAATATTATATAATGTTTTTGCACTAATTTGGTAAACCCAACAATACACAATACACAACATCACCATCCCCAAATGGTACACTAGGTTTGTGGCATTGAGTTTACCACATTATATACCATATATATCCAGTGATCATTAACCATTAGATAGAACATATGAATATATACATAAATACATGTAAGATTTATATTAACATTATGATTAATCATGATTAACCAACTATATATATATATATCCTATGTATATATATATATATATATCCTATGTATATATATATATATATCCTATGTATATATATATATATCCTATGTATATATATATCCTATATATATATCCTATGTATATATATAATTATATTATATGTATATCCTATTTAGAATATCCTATTTCAATATCATATGTATAGACATCTCCGCCAAGACACCGTTGAAAATCTCGCCGCGCAGCTTCTCGGAGGTGACCTTCCGCCGTGCTGCTTAAACATGGAGGATTTTGCCGTAAATTGTTGATGAATCCATGTTTTATGGTTGATTAAAGATAGGTTTGAGGGCTAATTTGATGAATCAATGGCCAATTTACCCGGCGTACTATTTCTGATAAATCTATTAAATGGCTGGTTTGATGAAAAATGGGTTTGATTCATCAATCATTAAAGATAGAATGATTGATGGGTTTGAGGGCGAATTTACTAATTATGTTTTTTGTTTGTTTAATGGAAATGAGCCATACAATGGTTCTTTTTGGTTGATCATGGACATTAGCCATAACATGTTTATGTTTTATGGGAACATAATTACCTAATATGGTCATTTTGTTTTGGAAGAATATTGAAAAGTGGTCAGTTTTAATGGAAAACTATGGAACAATGATGGAAGACGTCCGCCATGCTATGGTCTTTTAATCTTCTACTGGTTTTAAGGGTTTCATAAAACCAGGGAAATTTGGGGTACCCCTGGCACAACCAGTCTAGGGCAATCAACATAGCCACATAATAATATATATATATATCGCTGGGAATCCGCCTGCTCACATGGACACCTGATTTTTTAGACAAAAAAAAGGCAGGCCACCTTGAACTGCTGCAATGGCAAAAGAATCACTACCTCTAAAAGATCATGATCCAGGCAATCAGGGGTCCGTGTTACCCGCTTTTTTGTTTGTCAATCTTGTAGTTTGTTTGATTCATCTGTGATACAAGCGATAAAGGCATGTCGATTGGCCCTAAAAAATGCCCTCTCTAGAGAATCATGACCCAGGATGCCCCTACCAAGAAACTTGGAGTCCAGGTTAGGCATGTGGGAAAAAAACACGTTTCTACCGCCAAAAAACGTTTTTTTTTGTTTTTTTTTTTTTTCCGAACAACGCGGGTTTTATGATTCTTTAGAGGAAACTCCAAGGAGGATGTGTATATATAATTATATATATATACTGTATACCCAACTAAAATATTTCAAGATATAATGAAAGTGGAAATGCGTGCTAATGAGTGGATGATGGTGAAATATACACCCATGAACATGTAGAGAATCTATCTATTTGAGAAGTCAAGCAGGGGGATTGGACGCCAGTTGTTCGCTTGGTTTTCAGCAATGGGATAGTTGGGTTGGTAAATGTCCTGAGCAAACATCACCCAGGGGATATAATCTCCAACAGATACTTGAAGGTGATGATTGACATATCCAAAAAGACAAAAAAAGCAAACCCATACCAAAGAGAAAATCACCATGATACTGGCCAACCTTACCAATATTAACCACAATCGAATTAGGATATTTACAGAGATTTACCTTTGGGCCTTTGGGGGTCATTTTGGGATCTTATCTGTGGTGACTTACAACATACCTACGCCTTTAAGGAGGTATCAGCGGTTGGTCAACCGCTGGGTTCAACTGGTTACCATGGGGGATGCCCCATAAGGTGGATGTGATGGAAAATCCTATGAATAATGGATGATAACTAGGGATAATAATGGAAAATCCTATGAACATCCTATGAATAATGGATGAAACCTCTATATCTGTGTAGTTAGAATCAGTTTTTTGTAGATGGGTTCAAAAACCAACTTGAAACCATGATCATTACCCAGCGAACCAGTTACCAGTGATTGGAATGCACCTGAAACATGACGTATTGTCAAAAATCTTCGAATGTGGGGCAAAATCATGTTTTACAAAATGGATAAATAAACATAAATAAACTAATTAAAAAGAGTGGATTCACTTCATTTTATTGTGCTTTCCTTTCAAACAGTGCCATCAATTTCCCTCTGCTAATTTACACATAGCTATGGAAAATGGCTCGTGTGTAGTATAGACTAACTATGATGATTTAAACCGGAAGGATCCAGAAGAGAATCCCCGCAGCATTTTTGGACACACCCAGAGCATCCCAAGCACGGCAGTGTGGCCTTCCACCATGTAGGCACAGAGCCGGATGAAGCTCCAAATGGAGAGACACACCTTGAGGTCAGCAACAGATCATCCATGAACCAGTGCAATCCAATCCATGTCCATATCATCTATCAATATATCATAATATATCTATTATCTATAATGTTTGATTGCTTCAGCCCATCAAGATCTTCCAGAAGGTCTATCTCAGAAGGTCTTTCATTTCCATGAAAAAAACATCCATAAATTCTGTCATGTTCTCCAGAAATTCCCTCATGTCCCTCGCAAAAAATGTCGCACTTCTGCATCCAAGCGGCGCGTTGCAAGCGGGCTCGCCCTGCCACCGTGGTGGGCGGAAAGCCCAAAGCCACCTGCCACGACAGAATCCCACGACTATATTCTTTGCACTTTTGTTCTAAGTTAAACAGGTTCTAAGTACAGAGTCATGAATCAAAATTGAAGGACAATGCGGGTACAGGTTTAGGGATTTTGGAAGATTGTCTATTCCAAGTGTAAGTCCGTCACTTTAGCATGACGGTATCATGCATGGCTCATGCACCCAGCAATGGCCTCGGCTTCACTGCGTTCCACCAAGGGCACTGGCATGTAAAAATCGTGCGTCTGAGCCACCTGTTGCTGGGGCCCCAAATCGTTAGCTAAGTTGGACTGAAATATACTTAGGTTAACTATGGTAAACTAGGGTTTATGGTAGCTACAACTACACTTCATGAGGCTTCTAAATCAACTTACAAGTGTATAAGTCGTTAACTAGAGTTTTTGCTAGCTATCGCTATAGTCAATGGGGCTTATAAACCAACAAACTTTAACCTGGGGCAGGAATTTCAAATGTTCCTTACCGGGTCTCATATTGGATTTCAGATGGGTATGTTGGTACATCTACATGCTCAATAGAAAAAATATGAAGAGATCATATCCCTACAATTTTTGGTGACAGCCAGATGAATTCGATAAGATGTGAGGGAAAAGAAACAAACAATATTACATAAAGGGTTTCACCCTCCGAGGCGAGGAACTCGGACAACAAACAGTCGATCAAACATGTTGATCTAGATAACGTCTGGTTGATGAGGTCCTACAGTAGATGGACCAAAAAATCAAACCCTACAGACATCTACCAAGTAAAACCCCACACCCCAAAGTTCAATGTTGAACAAAACTCTATCTAGTTTCCTCTGTGTTCAGGGTTTGATTCTTTTGTCCACCGGACAGACCCGAGCGCGCAGCCCAAAGACAACATTGAAATTTGGGGGTGCTGGGGTTGACAACAATATAGCAAGGGTTTGATTTCATTGTCCTTCTATGGTATCCTTGTAGGAGAGGTTACATTTTCAGGGTCTGTGTGAATTTACTGCAAGGTATATCGCCATCATTCACCCGCATAGTAAACCCAAACCAGATAGAACAGCTAAAAAACAACTGCTGGAAGATTTTGGGAAATATATATAAAGGGTAAACAAGGTAACTTAAACACTAGGAAACCATATGTTAAACACCTCAATCACACCCTTAGAGGGCCACCAGGCCCATCAGGCCCACGGAGGGCCACCACGCCCCAGGGCCACTTGGCCTACCAAACCCCAAGGCCACCAGGACTAGGCTTATCAGGCCCTACCTACCTGCCTACCTACCTACATACCTACATACCTACATACATGCATACATTCATAAATTCATACATACACACATACCTACTTACCTACAGACATATAAGTACATACATAAATACATACATGCATTGAAATGTATCTTGTGTTTTTCTGAGTGAACGAATATACATCTAAACCTTTATATGATTATTTTGTTTTTGTAGATACTTGTAGGAATATATACCAAGGCACTTCTCTTCGTTGTATCTGCTATGATTTATTTGATGATGTAAACAATATGATTTTGTTGTTTTTGGTTTTTTAACATGCGTAGGCGCGCATACATACTTATGTATACTGGCCCCTACCCTTCTATAGATTGAAGCTGGGTCTTTGGGTCATAGGTCTATATAGATATTATATATATAATGATAATAATATATTTATATATATATACATATTATGTATATATTTGTATATATATATATATATATTATGTATGTATATGTATATTTATATATATATATACATATTATGTATATATATATATATATTATGTATGTATGTATGTATATATATTATGTATATGTATATACGTATATATGTCTATGAGTCAAAACTCTGGGAAGTCCTACCCTTCGGCATCTTTCGCCAAGTCCAGCCCCAGCGCCTCCGTCGCCAGCAGCTGTGGCAGATCCGGCGGCGCGCGCTCGGCGGCCTGTCGTTCCGCCTGAGGTGGACCGGTGTACCTCAAACCGCTCCAATTCCGCATCATCTTACATCGAAATATCGAGGTATCCACGAGCTTATGAAACAAAACCATTTTGTTAAATATTGTTCGATATACCAGAAAAGATGCGATAACTATATTCCGGTACTATGGTTGGCCTGGTTAGCTAGCCTACCCAATTATGTACCATATTATCCCACAATATTAAAATATATCAAAACACACAACGCATCACGGTTTCTTCAAAATATCTCAATATAACCCTAGATACTTCTAATTCACAGGCGCTAATTTGAAATTTGTTGGTTACATAGCTAGAAGTATTAACAAACCATTGGTTCTGCTTAATTACTGGTTTGTTACTACTTCTGGATATTAACAATTGGCTTAAAGTTAGATACATGTTCCTCCCATTGGTTCTGCTTAAAACCCGCTTCATAGTATACAATCTCAAGCCATGGCCAACCTTGAATATCTTTGCCAGAAAAACAAAGCTATTGTTTAGCTGGTTAAAGTATGAAATACATAAAATTCATACATATATATATACATAGACATATATACACAAATACATATATACATATATACATATATACATATATACATATATACATATATACATATATACATATATACGTATATACGTATATACGTATATACGTATATATATATATATATATATATAGATATACACATATGTATATATATACTTCCCATACATAGCAAGAAACAGATTAAAGTACCAACCTCACAAGCAATTCGTCTCAGTGGCCTTCGCCATAAACCCCACCTTTTTCCCGAATGCGTAGCCAGGGTTCCCGTTTCACTCTGGGGGTCTGGGGGCTGAGGGTGTGTTCGCTCAACGTTGTTTACGTTCGCAACCGTCCGCAACCGTCCGCAGCCGTTCGTCGTTTTCACAAGATGAGTTGCAGTTTTCGTGGCAGGAGCAAAATTTTGGAGATCTCTGTCGTCATTTTGCATGGCAGAAGCAGCACTCTACACTTTACACTTTACACTCCACACTTTACACTTCACACTCCACACCTTACACTCCACACTCTACACTCTACACTCTACACTTTACACTCCATACTCCACACTTTACACTTTACACTCCGCACATTACAAATTACACTCCACACTCCACACCTTACCCTCCGCACTCTACACTTTACACTCCACACTTTACACTTCACACTCCACACTTTACACTCCACACTCCACACTTTACACTCCACACTCCAGACTCTACACTTTACACTCCACACTCCACATTTTACACTTTACACTCTACACTTTGAACTCCACACTTTACACTCCACACTCAACATGTACACTCCACACTCAGCACTTTACACTCCACACTTCACACTTTACACTCCTCACTCCACACTTTACACTCTACACTCCACACTCTACACTCCACACTTCACACTCCACACTTCACACTCCACACTCCACACTTTAAACTTTACACTCCACAATGTGCAATTTACACTTTGCACTCCACACTTTACACCCCACACTCCACACTCTACAGTCCACACTTTACACTCCATCACACTCTACACTTTACACACTACACACTCCTCACTCCACGCTTTGCACTCCACACTCCACACTCTACACTATACACTCCACACTTCACACTCCTCACTGCACACTTTATACTCCACACTCCACACTTTACACTCCACACTCTACACTTTACACTTTACACTCCTCACTCCACTCTTTACACTCCTCACTCCACACTCCACACTCTACACTGCACACTCCACACTCTACACTTTACACACTCCACACTTTACACTCCACACTCCTTGCTTTACACTCCACACTCTACACTTTCCACTCCACACTCCCACTCTACACTTTACACTCCACACTTTACACTCTACACTTACTCTACACTCCACACTTTACACTTTACACTCCTCACTCCACACTTTACACTCCACACTCCCCACTTTAGACTCCACACTCTACACTCTACACTTTACACTCTACACTTTACACTCCATACTCCACACTCCACGCATTACACTTTACACTGCGCACTCCTCTCTCCACACTTTACACTCGACATTCCACACTTTGCACTCCACACTTTACACTCCACACTCTACACTCTACACCTTACAGTACACCCTCTTCCGCATTCCACAGCCTACAGTGCACTGGTACGGTAACAGGGGAAAAATGTACTGTTCAAAAACCTTCTTTCACAATAGTGTTCTACGTGACTGCATTCGGGTTCGTGGGCTGCATCTTGTTCTTTTTCAAGGTCCGTCCGCACCTCGATTTGGGGCCGCAACATCTTGGCACACCATTTCCTCAGCGAGCGTTGAACGTTTGAACAAAAAACACTTAGTGACCAGTCTGAATTTCTGAATGGTCGAGTTTTATTATGTTTTCATGATAGGGATATATCTATCCCTTGTCCAAGTCAGAATGATCCACAATATTGCAACATGATGATACAACATAAAGAAAGAATAATTGAGTTGAGTCTCATCATTGATAAAGACAACATATACAGGATGGATCCAGCTGGACCTTCTTAGAATCACTTCGATAACAATGATTGGACAGTGGAAATCCAAAAGAGAAGGCTGTGTAGGAGAAAGAATATATCAGTATCATGTTCACAGAGATCAATGTACATACCGAATTCATGCAACTCAAATGATCACCCCACAACCCCAAAGAATCATAGATTTGGCAAGAGATGAAACATGTTGGTCTTGAAATCATGGCGAATATCACCTCCCAAAATATATCAATGATCCCAGGCATGTGCCAATTCCTGCTAAACTTGGATCTTTGAAGACGAATTGAAATAGCAGTGCTCAAGACCGAATCTGGTCCCTTTCCAACAATCAAACCGAAACTTTATGTTGATGATGGTTGATGATGATTGATGATGGTTGATGATGGTTGATGATAGTTGATGGTGGTTGGTGATGGTTGATGATGATGGTATTCAGGGTTATTTGGCGACTTTGCCGGGCAATAGACAGCGAATGGCTAGACAGTATAGGCAAAAGATTGTACCGTTAACGATCCCAAATGGTGTATACACCCAGTTGAGGCGAGTGCGTGCGTGCGTGCGTGCGTGCGTGGGTGTGCGTGTGTGTGTGTGTGTGCGCGTGCCACTTTCCAAGGGGAGTTCTTGGAGTGCAGCCTTTTGATGGCAATTGTCCAAGTCTTGGGGTCGTAGTAATTGCTTAGAGCATCCCTTGGTATGTCCCAATTGCACATGGATTTCAAACAAGACACTAACACCAAGTAGCACAAGTACACTCTCTCTGTCTCTCTACATATATATATATATATATAATATGTATATATATATATGTATTTATGTATATATATATATGTCTATATATATATGTATATAATATAACGTACATGTTCAAAGAAGGATGACCCTCAACAATCCTCCCCAGGCGGTCAAGAATCTGTAGGCCACTTTCCAGCTGATGGTCCAAACTTGCGACATATGCCAGTAAACGTTCGCAGCCTCGGTAGTCTGAGACAAGCGCTGGGATGTCTATCTGTCCGACTGCGGAGGTCTTTTTAAGGGTAGAGATATGATAGAAAACATTTCGGAACAGCAGATTATTTTCACCCATTGAATATGATACTATGCACGGATCTTCATAATGTATGTATAATATGTGTATAATATGTGAATGATATGTGTATGATATGTGTATAAGATGTGTATGATATGTGTATAATATGTGTATAATATGTGTATAATATGTGTATAACATTTATTATAATATATATATATATATATACATGATTGCCAGCTCTTTTGGGGGGTGCACATGGGTGCTTCATTGTGGGTGCTTCATTCTGGGTGCTTCATTCTGGGTGCTCCATGCTCCATGGTGGAGCCAACGGAACCCTGCATTTTCTCTGAGCATATGGTGAGTTGATATGGGAATATAACCAGTCTATATGAATGAAACTGGGACATGATGGGAACCACAAATCTGCTTGACTTTCGTGATAATCCTGATAATCTTCATAACTCACCAAACCTGTGTTGCCTTGAATTCCCAACTGTAGATATATCATGATATATCTACATCAGAGAAGCGATCGCTTTTTCAACCAACAAAAACCGAGTATCGACCCTGGCGTCGCATTCCGTCCGAGCAGCCCATCTGGTGGATGGCACCATACTCGGCCAGCAGTCGTGGTTGATTTCCCATGGCATCGGCATCCAATGCACTCAATCGTTGAAACTTTTCCTGGGCGCTGAGAAGCGCTGAGGTGTTTGGGTGTGTGTTTTTCCTAGGAGAACTGTGCCACCAAGAATAGCATAATTATGGATAAAGTAATTGAGATCTAAAATCAACCATAACTAGAACGTAATGGGGGATATTGATGGGGATACCTTCTGGTAATCAAACACGGTTAGTTGGGAAATCGCCGAACTAAATGGATGTTTCATTTGGAAAATACATCTATATACATCTATAACAGGTGGTTTACAAGTGGCAAAATCACAGAACTGATATATAGCTGGGAGGTTTATTTATAGCTGGGAAAATCATCGAACTATTCAGGGGGGACTTTCCAGTCCATGTTGACTACCAGAGGATACTCCTGGAGGAAATGACCAGCTAGTGGCCAGCTAGTGGGCTATGGTGGGCCATGTCTGAAATCAAAACGGAAAAACCTTGAGAATTCATCAACGATAGACCGATATAATATATATATATATATAAATAGATATAATATAATTATATATATATATGTACAGTTAATGTTGTTTTTCCTCATAATTGCTTGGTTTTGTTTCATACCCATAGTTGACGAGTCTTGACTAGTAATAATTGGGTCGAGACCACAGAAATACGGCGATGTGATTTGGAGATGAAGAATGTGCCTCCCAGTGGCCCTAGTGGGAACGTCCAACCAATTTCTGCTGGTTGGTGGTTGACCAACCCCTCTGAAAAATATGAGTTCGTCAGTTGGGATGATTACTCCCATTATATGGAAAAATCCAAAATGTTCCAAACCACCAACCAGTCTGGCTTTGTCTCAATTGCAACTGGCCATCATTCAATCACTGGTCGTGCAGAATCAGCGCATCGAAGTATGAAGATTGGAACCACATACTTGAGGCTTCCAAAACCATGAATTCTTCTGTCAGGTGCCTTGACGAAAAACCATTGTTGATATCCATTGTTTTAGGTGGACTTTGTCATAATGTGTGCATATATGTATATGATATTTGTATACACATTGATTGTATATATATATATATATACAGAGTTTAGTATGTATATATATATATATATGTATGCATGGTACATTCGAACATGGTCATCTTAATGGGGAGCATGATGATCAACTTATTGAACCATTGGATCTTGGGCTACTACACTGCACCCCTTGACCAAGACATGCGGCACATGGAGGAGACTCATCGTTTTGTAGTCAACGATAAATGAGAATTTCTAAGCATCCTTCGGATGATTCCCACCACCATAGAAAACATATATGACTATCAGATGAGAAACTTACAGTATAACTCATCATGATAACTGATAAATGCTTATAACATACAAATATTATATATATATATGTAATTATATGTATGCATAAATAAATAAATATATATATATATACCTGATAATTTGCATAAAATCAACCGTTCTTTGGTTTTTTTCCATCAATGCCGATCCCGTTGTGACATCGTCCGCTTCACCGAGGCGCGACACAAAAGCTGTGCAGCCACAGGAGCGCCTCTTGGCTCGTGGCTTTCAAATGATACAACCTCGAGCCGCGCTCGGAGCGATGGAGTCCTGGAAAACACCATGGATCACCATGGCCAATCTAAGATACCAAACGCTATAATCCCATTGATACCAAACGCTAGAAACAAGGTACATTTGAAGAACTGAATCAGTTGGCGAAATATATATATATGTGTGTGTGTGTGCGCCATATATATATATATGACCATCAAATGACCATAAATGACCAATCTTTAATTTGGAGATCCCAAAAAATAACCAGGGAGGTTGTTGCCAATGTTTCATCCTTTAACAACCATCATGGTTTCCAGTCATATCATATTTGCCATCTGGGGGGATTTACCACCAACAAGCCATGGGACCAGAAATTGGAAAATTATGTTAAGAAACACAAGACTGGAACATTCTCCAGACAGATTGAAACAAGGCTAGCCCCTCACATAACGATCAGACTATATAATATAATGATTATTTGATAGATAAATATGTATATATATATATACATATTCATTTATGATAATAGCGGATGCAGACACCTCTGCTTTTCAAAGGTGGAAATGACTGTGGGTTTGTCCAGAAATGGCTACGACAAACCCCTAAAATTGGGCCATTGAAGTTGGAATGTATTTTCTGAGAAGGTCGACCTTCTAACCATGATATCCCATTCCATGATTTTCTAATTATTGTCCCTGCTGTTGGTAAATCCTAAACATGTCATCATGAGCTCGAAGAAATGGCTCTCATCCCCGGTCGCCAGGAAGCTCATCTTCAAGCTTGTTGCGCGCCGCTGCGAATCCGGCACGACGCGCCTCGGGTGTCAGAAAAAAAAGGGTTCTGTCAGTCAATTGGTTCTGTGGGACAATCTGTACAAGTTGGGTCTCCCCAAACTATATGTAAGTTGGTTGTAATCCCATCTGGGTTTTCACATATTTTAACTACCATAAACCTGAATAAGTCCAGTGGTACATCACCTTAGGACGCTAAGTTTTGTTACTGTGGTTTCGGCTATCACAATGGCGGCGATGGCGGCTTCCAGCAAATCAATATGGAAGTATGATGAAGTATGATTAGTAAACAATCCAAATGGGGATCATATAAGCTGTAGTATCCATTGATTCTACAAACATGATCGATTCTGAATCCCTCCTCTGACAGGCTTAAGCCTTACCTGGTTGCATGACTTTCTAAGAGAATAATGTGGGTGAAATTCCAACAGGAAAATCCTATCCGATCCCTTGATGAGAATTCTCGCTGTAACTGTGGACAGTGCACCTGTTTATGCTTTGGGGGATTGTGACTGAATAAATCCTGCTGAACTTAGAGGATTGACTAGACAAATGTATCGTTGATCTGCTTAAGACCTGTGCAAAGAAATCATGCCCAAACTATGGCCTTACCAGAGCTCCTCGTTTGTCTGTGCATTGTAAGGAGACTACCTTCCAGAAATCAAATCTACCAATTACTGAAGGGAGAAAAGTGAGAAAAGTGAAAGCTCTGAAGTTGATGAAGTTGATGTGGCATATGATGAATATGATTGCTCCAAGCTTCATTCTCGCTCCAGTGAGCAAAGCACTTGGACACCTGGATTTCCCGAGGATTTGATGATGCCAGGATTGATCAGCTACCGTGCTACCAGCAACACCATTAAACATTTGCAATATCATCACTATTAATCCAGCAATGATTTGCAGGATGCTAGTCATGATTTTTTGCCTCAGCAAACATGGATATCATGGATGTGTAACTAACAGTGAGGTGAAATGGAAATACAACCAACATCATCATCTATGGACATTTGACCAACCAATGCTATTAACTGCGGGGAGTCTTTCAATCGGAAGTTGAAGGGATTCATCCCGGGTGAGTGGTTGCTTTCAGACGAAACAGCACTGGATGCCAGGGTAAAATGGATAAGTGACCACTTCCTGCTGTCCTAACTCCTGCCTACCACAGGCTGGTACCCCCCAGTGATGTTAATGGGTTTTTAATTTCCATCCATTAATTATTGTCAATTATAGATACCAACAAACCCTAAGTTGTTGGAGTTATGTTCACCATATAACTTGGATCACGAACTGGGGCACCACTCCGCACCATTCGCCATACCGGCGAGAATCAGAGAACTTTGAGCTATGACATATTCGTCAAAACAAGCAACAAAAAGAGACGTTTCCTATCTGGGAAAACTATGGAAAACTGTTCACTAGTGTGGGGAAAACAATGCCATAAACCACCCATTTGGGAATGGTAAAACATACCACCTATAAAAATTGTGATTTGGGGGATGGCTTACTATTGTTTTATCCACTAATCCACTAAAAGGAAACATGTCTGGTATCTCTCCACACTACCAACCACAGTGGGCTTGTTGTCAGGGCAGCTTTCACGCCTGAAATCGTTTGGCCCAGCGCAAACTTTTCATCTGCCGGTAGAGTTCGCGTTCGGCAAAGAAGTCCTGGGGCGGGCGGGGGGCAGGGCGGGCAGGCGACTACACATAGAAACCTGAAATTTTCCACTGAAAGTGGAATGTTACTTGGTGGATGATCCCACTTAGTAAGTGGGTTATAACATGTCATAACCACAGTTATAAGTGGATTAACTCTACCTATCCCATTTGTAACTGGGGTGAACTAACACACTAACTAAGTGGGATGATCCACCAAGTACCCTGTTACCCCAACATGTTGGTATTTTTGCACAAGGTATGGCTGGCAGCGCTGGAATTTTCTGGACCCGTTGAGAATCAGAATATGTCTAATATTCAGAAGTCAATTTTCAGGACCCAATGTGGACCCATATCATATCAGGTAAAACGATCCTTATGTTGATAGATAATGTTTCATGATTGTTCGGTATTGAAAATGCTTAAAGACATTATTGCCAAATGAACATACTGGAGTATGTATATATATATATATATTAGCATGGTGCTCTAACACGTTTTCTTCAGCCTAAATTGTAACCTTAACTTTTGTAAATTGTAACCTTATTTTTTGTAAATTGTAACTTTAAATTTTGTACATTGTAACCTTAAATTTTGTAAATTGTAACCTTAAATTTTGTAAATTGTAACCTTATTTTTTGTAAATTGTAACCTTAATTTTTGCAAATTGTAACCTTATTTTTTGTAAATTGTAACCTTAATTCCCGACATCACTGTGTGGGGTTCTTGTTTTTCGCTTGGATCCCGCAGGGGCTCCGCTCCTTCGCCTCCGCCCCCTCCTCCTCCGCCGCCTCCTCTTCACTCACACTCATCACTCATCACTCATTCCCTATCTCCCTCATTCTCATCTCATCTCATCTCATCTCATCTCATCTCATCTCACTCACTCCCTCACTCACTCACTCACTCATTCATCTTCACTCATCCATTCACTCATCCACTCATCCACTCACTCACTCACTCACTCACTCGCTCGCTCGCTCGCTCACTCACTCACTCACTCGTGCACTCACTCACTCACTCACTCACTCACTCACTCACTCACTCACTCACTCACTCACTCATCTTCACTCACTCCCTCCCTCACTCACTCACTCACTCACTCACTCACTCATCTTCACGCATCCACTCACTCACTCATCCACTCATCTTCACTCACTTACTCACTCACTCACTCACTCACTCAGGCAGGCGCAGTACAGAGAGCTTCCTGCCTGCCTTTCGCGTGGCAGGCGCAGTACACAGAGCCTCCTGGAGGAGCTGCGGCGCGCGTGGTCGCCGCTGGGCCGCGGCTGCCTTTCGCGTGGCAGGCGCAGTACACAGAGCCTCCTGGAGGAGCTGCGGCGCGCGTGGTCGCCGCTGGGGCCGCGGCTGCCTTTCGCGTGGCAGGCGCAGGACACAGAGCCTCCTGGAGGAGCTGCGGCGCGCGTGGTCGCCGCTGGGGCTGCGGCTGCCTTTCGCGTGGCAGGCGCAGTACACACCCAGAGGGGCATTTCGGGCATAAAACCACCCCAGGTGCTGACAGAGGGTTTTAATGCAGAAATGGCCATTTCGGGCTTAAATCCCCAGATTAGGTTTGTTTATTTGGTGATTTTCATGCAAAAAGATGGTTTGAAGGGTTGCGTGCTCGATCAGCTGTTGCCTTCGCATTTGTGGCCTCTGAGACCTGTACTGGATTCATATATGTCATGGGGCCGCTATAGGGCTGTGTCTGCGCTCACGGTACATTAACATATCAAATATTTTATTACTTAGCACTCGTCCTCTTTCGTGTGTGTGAAGCCCTTCGCCCGAGAATTTTCCGAGAATTCGGCGCTAAATCCCCCCATATCGGCGCTAAAAACCCGTGAAAATTCATGGGTCAGATTTTTGGGTGATTGGTTGCGCATTTTTGAAAGCTGATGCATGGGCAGACGCAAGAAACAATTAGCAATTCGCTGTTTGGGTGTTGGTGGGTCGTGACATGTGTTTAACATGTGTGGTGGCAAAGTTTGCTCTTTTTGCACCAGCAATTTTTAGAAATCCTTGAATAAGGGGAAACCCACCAAATATGTGGTTTCTACATGTTTTTGTGGCTTCAATTTCAAAGGGGCTATCGTGCTGATAGGGGGCTTTAATGCTGATTTGAGAAGATAGGGGAGTTTTAAGTCAGAAATGACCCTCTGGGCAGAGCCTCCTGGAGGAGCTGCGGCGCGCGTGGTCGCCGCTGAAGCCGCGGCTGCCTTTCGCGTGGCAGGCGCAGGACACAGAGCCTCCTGGAGGAGCTGCGGCGCGCGTGGTCGCCGCTGGGGCCGCGGCTGCCTTTCGCGTGGCAGGCGCAGGACACAGAGCCTCCTGGAGAGCGACTTTTCATCACCACTCATCACAGACCCACTTATCACATCACAACTTCTCATCACAACTCATCACAACTCATCACACCTTATCACATACCAAGTCATCACAGCTCCACTTCTCACACCTCACTCATCACAGCTCCACTGCTCATCACAACTCATCACAACTTATCACAACCCAACTCATGACAGTTCCACTTCTCACACCTCACTTCTCACACCTCACTTATCACATCACAACTTCTTATCACAACTCATCACAACTTATCACATCCCAACTCATCACAGCTCCACTTCTCACACCCCTTCTCACACCTCACTTATCACATCAGAACTCATCACAGCTCCACTTCTCACACCTGACATCACACGTCCACTTCTCGCACCTCACTTCTCACACCTCACTTATCACATCACAACTTCTTATCACAACTCATCACAACTTATCACATCCCAACTCATCACAGCTCCACTTCTCACACCCCTTCTCACACCTCACTTATCACATCAGAACTCATCACAGCTCCACTTCTCACACCTGACATCACACGTCCACTTCTCACACCTCACTTCTCACATCTCCCCGAAGTTTACATTAACCTTAGATACATAAAGGCTTGACATGTGGGGTTATCCGGTCCTTTTATTTTTGTAAATTATAACCTTGAGTTTTGCAAATTGCAACCTTATTTTTTGTAAATTGTAAATTTGGTGACGTGGAAGACAATTTGAGGGGTTACCGGCAGTTTCCAAAAGAGGGTTTTGGGGGACCATTTTGGGGACATTTTTGGCCAAAAATTGTAACCTTAACTCCGGGAGCTAAGGTTACAATTTTTAAGGTTACAATTTCGGTTCTCCAATAGGCACGGAGCAGATTGTAACCTTAACTTTTCCCAAAATTGTAACCTTAACTCTGGCCCGTTAAGGTTACAATTGCCAAATTTCAAGGTTACAATTCCCAATTTTTAAGGTTACAATTGCCCAAATTTAAGGTTACAATTCCCAATTTTTAAGGTTACAATTGCCCAAAGTTAAGGTTACAAATTCCCAATTTTTAAGGTTACAATTGCCCAACTTTAAGGTGCCAAATTTTAAGGTTACAATTGCCCAAATTTAAGGTTACAATTGCCCAATTTTAAGGTTACAATTCCCAATTTTTAAGGTTACAATTGCCAAATTTTAAGGTTACAATTGCCCAAAGTTAAGGTTACAAATTCCCAATTTTTAAGGTTACAATTGCCCAACTTTAAGGTGCCAAATTTTAAGGTTACAATTGCCCAAATTTAAGGTTACAATTGCCAATTTTTAAGGTTACAATTGACCAATTTTAAGGTTACAATTGCCAAATTTTAAGGTTACAATTGCCCAACTTTAAGGTTACAATTCCCAATTTTTAAGGTTACAATTGCCCAAAGTTAAGGTTACAATGTCACAGTTTTAAGGTAACAATAAGCCTCTAAAGAGACCCCCAAAAAACGTGTTAGAGCTCCGTGCTAATATATATATATATATAAATAAATATTTAGACTACATTCTATATATATGTATATATAATTATATATATAAATATAGAGCTAGAACTTTGTTAAACTTTCCAGCCAGGACACGGCTTAGTTCTATCATGAAACATATTATATATATAAATCATATTCTATCCACATCTTGAGTGAGCTATAGTGAAATGGAGGGCGACAAAATGACGCTTAAAACCCATAGGCTTCAGTGCAGTGGTCACATACACAGTAATGGGCCCAACATATTTATTGCTGCAAAATCTTACACACACACACACACTAGACAAAATTGGATCTTTGAAGAGATCCATCAGGAACTGGGTCCTGTAACATGCAAATTGGTCATGAGAACAAAAATCCTAGATGCAGGTACAAGTGGTTGATCAGACCACTCATCCACCGAAATGCCATAGCTTCGTTGGACTGGATAGGCAAATCGGCTCCAGTCCCCCTGCTCTATTAGAAAGGGAGAAGAAAGAATAAAGAAAGAGGAGAAGTTTTACATCTATTTAGATGTCACACACACACACACCCCCGGCCGGAGCCGGTGGAGCCGGGTCAACCCTGAAAGGCAAGAGGAAGAAAAAGAACGGACACAGACGACGGGAAACAGGCCGAAACAGCGCAGGGCGGGGAAGGGAACGAACGGACCTCCAGAACCAACCTACGCGGAGAAATGGACCTGACAAAAACAGAGCACACACCTAAACCCCACGACACATTACGGAGAGGCACGAGGGGAGAATTAGGGACCAAATGGGGGACTAGTTGATGACGAGCGTGAAAAACCAAAACAATTAACTAAAAAAGGACCCAGTTCCAACTACAACAGGAGTCGTGCGTTACTCCCCTTCGGGACCGTAGTCAAGTCGTGCCGCAATGGCATAAACGGCTGTTCAAGTTCCAGTGAATTAGGTGCACAAAATGTTCAACCTCACCAGAAACCATCAAAAAGGATGGACCTGCCTGGTTTTTGTGTCATGTTGCAGTTCATATGTCCCTTCAAAAGCTGCGTGGACGAAAAAGAGGTTTCTGGTTGTTCGGATCTGCTTCCCGCTGACAGAGATGCGTTTCTCAAGGTTTCACGAGGGACCGCAGGAACAGCAGGAACAGCAGGACTTCGCAAAAGGCTGGTAATCAAAAGGCCGACTGTTTCGCTTTACGTAAACGAATTACCAGATTAAAATTGTCAATTCTGTAATCCGGCCAGTCGACATTCACCCTAAAAAGGGTTGCCTCCAGTGGCCCTATGGCACCTTGTCGGAGTCACGATAGGTATTACACTAGACAAAACTGGATCTTTGAAGAGATCCATCAGGAACTGAGTCCTGTAACATGCAAATTAATCATGAGAACAAAAATCCTAGATGCAGGTACAAGTGGTTGATCAGACCACTCATCCACCGAAATGCCATAGCTTCGTTGGACTGGATAGGCAAATCGGCTCCAGTCCCCCTGCTCTATTAGAAAGGGAGAAGAAAGAAGAAAGAAAAAGGAGAAGTTTTACATCTATGTAGATGTTACACACACACACGTGATTTCAGGGCCATATGCAAATGGATCAAATAACACACCACAAACAAAAACAAATGGTAGGATGCAAGTTTAAACATTGCCGATCTTAGATGCCTTATTTACTAGCTTTCGTAGCTGAAGGTTTCCGCCATATCTATGTCTTATACTATATGTTATCATTATGCAAAGTAATTCCCAACCAAAAACATAGTTCGGTTTCGCAAAAAAAAATGTTCCCCAAAAAAAATATAAAGTATCCCCTGCAAAGTGTCCCAACGATTAATGTGCGAAAATATCTTATGATACTGTGGATGGAAGAAATCCTGCACCAGTTGGTAGATGGTTTATCCATGTTTATCCCCTTATCCCAAGTACCCTCTCGCCGCTGGTTGCCTTGTAGTTTACCCAATCTTCGATCCCGGCCGCATTGCAATACCTGGGAGAAAAAGTCTGAGATCGTGATGCGGGAGCTGCAGTGGTTCATGTGATTCTACTATAATCTTAGATTAGATACACAGAAATATGTAATATCAAATATCAAAACACATATGTAATATGTGTGATATACACACGTATCTACAGAAAGCGAAAAATGTTGCCAACATCTATGGCGATCTATTATTGGCTGAAGAACAGCAGCAGTTTAACAACCAAATGAACATTTACCATGGTATATATAAACAATATGTATATATATATATATATGTATGTATATATATGTATATATATGTATATATGTATATATATATATATATAAATGTATACATATGTACAGTATTTGTATATGGGCAAATTAAAACAATTCACTAACCTGAAATCTTGGGCCAATCTGGGAGTCGCTTGCCATCCCGAAACATCCATGGCATGGATTGGAAAAATTGGTATCCCATGAATGTTGCGTTGAACATCACCGAAACAAGCAGCAAAACCACCACTCCCTTCACCAAATGCCATAAAAATCCTGGTAAATCCAGGGTAAATCCATGTAAATCCGTTCTATCTCCCCTTTCCTTATACCACCATGTCAATGTGTTTTGGTTAGCCAGCATGGTTGATGGTTCAAAAGCAGTTTCCAAATATATCCATCATGTATTGGTTCAATCCCCACTATCGATCACTCTTGTTGGTTTTTATCATCATCTATATCCCCATAACCCATAACTTTTAAATATAGGAATACCCATTAATATCATACCATGAATATCATAATCAATAACTCTACCATTAGTCAACTAACTATATATATAATTAATGATTTGCAGATATTTACAGTACATAGCCATTAATCATTTATTAACCATTAATCATCATTTATCAACCATAAGCCAATATTTGTCAAACATGAACCTTTCTCATTGGGAAATGCCCTCCTCCAGGCAGGCTGCATGAGCCCACTGCGGCCCACCACCACCCAGCTCAAGTCGTCCTATGATGCGGTCAAGTCGTTGGAGTAGACCCGTTTTGGACCCAAAATGGGCGAGTTTTTTCTTGGTCAGTTCTAGAGTAAAATCTACAGGAAACCATGGTTTTTACCAAATATAGGGGTGTCCTGTAAATTTTCCCATCATCCAATTCTATGATATAGATATGTGTTTCTCATAGTTTGAGGATATTATGATGTATTAATACCCAAGATACTGCTATAGCAGGTATTGAACAAAATGTTATCGTTAAATCATCCACTTCGGGGGTCCAATAATGTTGACCCATCCAAAATGAGAGAGATACCCGCTGGTGATCAAACATGGCTAGCTGGAAAATCACCCATTTATAAACAATTTTCCCATATACGTAGTAGATAGATGCCCATTTGGTTCAGGGATTTTCCAGCTAGCCATGTTTGAGTACCGCAGGGTTTTGTCTGATTGTGAAACCTTGACTAGACCCAAGCAGTACTTTGAATATAGGGTTCGTGATTTCAGCTCACACGACAACATTGTGGAAAGATCTTCTCGCAGTCTGCAAGGATTCATTTTTTTGATGTTCTGAATGTTCTGGTCCCTTCGAAGACTACACACAAATGAAGTTGCATCAGCAATTGATAGGTGTCGAACCTCCAAGATCCTCATAATTGGTGATCAACCCTGGAAACTCCGTTCAATCCAAACTAAGTGACAGCCCGACAAATACATATCAAATCATATCAACTAATCCCATGCCCCTAATATGTTCAAAACACTCCAGAAATCATGGTTTAGTCGGGGATTTCCACAGTGGGAGCATGGGATGGGGGTGTTGAATATGAAGGGCATAGGCCCCATAGGCATGGGACGTTTCGGATTATTCCAAAGTTCTGCAACATAATCAACATCAATATGCCCAAGTTATATGTTGTGGTGGCAATCTATAGTGGGCCTAGGATCTTCCCAGCCAATTCCCAGCCGCGCTGCTCGTCCTGCTCCGGACGCTGATGGGGGACCAGCTCGTAGGCTGTGATGGCTCTGGCGTAGCAGAAGTCTCCCTCCTGCCCCGAAAACGGGATGTCTTGTTTTTTTCCGGCCAGTCGTCAGGGAAAAGGATGAAAAAGGACTAAGAAAATTGCCCCCCCCCAGCTGTACCCATGAAGTAGAGTTATATAATGGCCATAGACCCTTAGTGAAATTGGAGCTATGTCCAGCAACTGAGCTATCGTTTTGGGACTCAACCATGCGCTGGGTGATGGATGTTGATCTTCAACCCTTTTCTTCAACCAAGTGCAGTTCACATCTGAGCAGCTTCGCGCAGCCTTCATATGGAGATGGCTGGCCATGATACTGTCGGGTTATTCAACGGTTTGCGAACTGGAAAATGAGCACTTGTTAAAACGGTAAAATTATCTATTTCTATGGGCCATGGCTTAGCTATGTTTTCTATGACCAAAGGGCAAATATGGGACCCGGGAACCTCAATCCCACATCGAAAGTTGAAGTTCTCTATTCGTGTAGGATCTGCTACAGTTGCCAGGTCCAACTGCCTGGCCGTTCAAGAATCAAAAGTTGGACCGTTCTCTAGGACAATAAATTGCTACGTCTTTATTGGAGGCACTGGCGTTTGGAAGTGTAAGCTATCAAACTGAAAGAAAGGTCTCTGAAAGGGATTTCCAGAGTATATGGTACACTGTATATCATCATGATCAGTTGAAACGTTCCAGCATGTTCCAGCCATCCAACTTTCTTAGAGGAATTCAGCAAAGGGGATAAACATGGATAAACATCGCTACCCTCTGGTAATTCAACATAGCGCTTGAACATCACCATGTTTATTTGCTAAATAATCTATAAATGGACAATTTTCAGTAGCAAACCGTTAAAATTACCAGAGGCTAAACCACACAATTAACAGCAAATTACAGCGATGCCAGGTCTGTAGGAAGGGGATGTTTCTCCATGTTTATCCCCTAAATCCACGATGCTTCTCTAGAGGCTGTTTTATATTGGAAAGGATGAGCAACGTGCGATGTTGTTTTGTGGAAATTGCTTCCAGTGTTGACATCACGTGCCCACGGCCCCAGGAAGATGATCTACGGATCTAGAAATGGTGGCCTTTTTGGCAGGTATGCGCAAGTTCACTGGAGGATCTGGAAGGTGATGATTGAAATAGTTCAAAATTACATGGCAACTTTCATGATTCATCCCACTCCCAGACCCTTCAGCAAACAAATTCAGTACTGAACCAGAGTTGGGCGAGTGTCAGGGCAAAGGACTAATGAAACTCTAATTAACACCGCATTTAATTGTGGGGGTACCATTTCAGCAGCAAGGCAAATCACTTTTTTTATTTTTTGAAGCAGCCTCATTAACTAACATTTGGGTGTACTAATCTGGGTTGACATTGTTCTACTAAGCGAATTTTCACCTGTCAACTTGACAACATCGTGGCCTGACAATCGTCTGGGGTCTTCGACCATTCCAACATCCTTGGAGCGATGAGGTCATCACAAGGATGGCTGAGTTCCAGCACTTCCAAAATCTACTGATGATCGGTCATAGTTCTCAACTGTTCTCAATTGTTATCAACTGTTATCAACTGTTATCAAAAAGCACTAAAAATGCACCGCACATATTTTGCTCCAGGAGGCGTGAGGGAATCTCATGACCATTCGGCAGAGCATATCTGCCACTAGGACTAGGTCTGCACAAGACAAATATAATCCAATCCGTCAAGTGCACATTTTTGATGAGACCCAACATGTATATTTACAAAACAAATTGGGTTCTCATTGCCATATCTGGGATGTTTTTCTTAGTGGTCCTGCTAGGAGTATGCGTGGATCTCCAATTTGGAACAAGGACAAAAAAATGAAAGTGATTTTTTGTTGATGTATCCACTTGGTAGACAACATTCTGCTCTTGCTCCTCCCAATTCACAAAAGTATCACCCTCTAGACTCTAGCTAGATAGATAGATAGATAGATAGAATAGATAGAATAGATAGAATAGATAGAATAGATAGAATAGATAGAATAGATAGAATAGATAGAATAGATAGAATAGCTAGAATAGATAGAATAGATAGAATAGATAGAATAGATAAAATAGGTAGAATAGATAGAATAGAAAGAATAGATAGAATAGATAGAATAGATAGAATAGATAGAATAGATAGAATAGATAGATTAGATAGATTAGATAGATTGATGGAATGATGGATTGATAGATTGATAGATTAGATAGTTTAGATAGTTTAGATTAGATAGATTTGCTAGATTAGATAGATTAGGTAACTTAGATTAGATTAGATGGATTTCATATATTTGATAGAGAGATAAACAAACAGAAAGACAGACAGATAGATAAATAGATAATCGGACAAACAAATAGATAGATAGGCAGATAAACAGATAGACAGGCAGACAAATGGATAAATAGATGGATAGATAGATAGATAGATAGATAGGTATGTAGGTAGGTTGGTAGCTAGGTAGGTAGGTTTGTAGATTATTAGGTAGGTAGATAGATAGATATTGGCATGACAATATGTGTGACGATGTATAAGCAAATGTGCATGTACTGTACATATATATATAAATATACACTGTATATACACTATATAATTTACATATACAGTATGTGTATATATATGTATATATAAGATCTACATATTGTTTGCTTGGAAGCCTGGTGGCCTGTTTTCTGGAAGCTTCAGTGCCAAACCTGGAACATAGGTACAATATATGCATATTTACAATCTATGTATAATTGAAGGACTATATATGTGATGTATAATATATATCTATAGTGTATATATATATATACATACACCATACATGCATCCAACAAAACAGGTTTCTGCCCTACCCTTTTGAGACTTCTGATTCGATTTTCTCCAAGTCTCAACTCCTCCAATTCCTCCACAGTTTTTGGTGCATAAACCGTCTGAGGAAGCCGAGGATCAGTTGCCTCGAAACTCATCGCAGGAAGATGGCAGATTTTTTCATGGCGCTTGGCAGATACTTTTTTGGGTGACCTCCAGGTATTAGTTGCAATATATGATGGTAAAACATGATATAATATAGCTATATACGACTTATATATGACTTATGTCATCTTATATCATGATCATCCCACGAATGGTACCCTGATTCATGTTTGTGGGACATCGAAAGGCCGATGCCGCCTGATCTTTACGGCACCTGGGTGAAAACTCATCCCTAGAACCCCTCTGATCAGCAAATTCATGGAGATAGGTCAGATGAATCATCATGACACCCGGGCAAGGGATCATGAAACCATTGGTATATAATATAGTGTATATATATACACACATACTATATAATTATATATATAAACACTATATATACTTAGTATATTATATACATATGAAACCATATGATGGCATTTTGATGGTTTCAGTATAAAACCATTGGGCAGTGCCGACACACATCGGTGATATTGATATTTCAAACTTGGACCAAAAGAGGCCCACAAGTGAATCTACAAACATCTTGGCAACTTATAATGATTCACTAACCTGAAATGTTGGGCCATTTTGGGATGATTCCCCTAAAAAAACACATGATTCCAGGGTTCGGGAGAACAGTGAAGTCGTTATAATTTACCCAAAAGCATCTTACCCAACAGATTCCGAAACAAAATCCACAAGGTTTCCCCAGTTTCTCCAGCTCCACCTCCGCCTTGTCTGGAGACTTATGGCCTACAGCCTGGAGATAAAGAAAAAACAGGACTTGACCTGTGTTTTTCTTGGGATTTACATCATGATTTTGTAGGATTTATGATGGTTACCTTCCGGTCGTTTCACACTTTGCGAGCTGGAAGCCAGAGGGCAACTAACCCATGACCTATGATTTGCTTTGGAACATTGTATTTCAGGGCCAAACTTTCAGGAGGATACTAAATTTGTATATATTTGTAAATATATATATATACACATAATACATAAAACTGTATATGTATATATATAAGAACATATTTTTTGGGATGCAACAACTACTCAACTCTCAGGGTCTTAAACAACAATTCCCCTGAAAAGTGGCGGTCAAGTCAGCTCGAGACACCATCTCATGGAGAAAACTACATTTTTCACCGGTAAAGTGTACATTTTGGTTAGAAAGGATGATCACCTAAAAAAAATGAGGTGTAATGGTGCAATAAAATCGTGAAAGAGTCATAAGAGAAGTCTTAAGGGAGAACAGTAACGCTAATTTCTTGTGATTGGAGATGATGATGCTCTTACCTAAGCAAAACTGAAAGGAACATCAAGTTTTATAACTTCAGAGTGGATATATCACACGTGTTGTAAGATGAGCATTCAATGTCGCAGAAGGATCTTTAAAATGGTTTGGAAACAAAACTTTTGCAATATGCATTGGAGGGTTACAACTCCCAAGTTCAAGGTAATGATGACTCTCAACCAATCAGTTTCATATTATTCTTGAAATAGTGTGGTCCCAATAATAGTTGTTGCTTAACTTCCAATACATCCCATAGTTGGCCAACTTCCACAGCCTTAAGATGCCTGAAGAGTCGGGATATGTCCTCCATCCAATTCCCAGCATTCCAGTGACGTCGTGAAGTCCTTATAGTTAAATGCAGCCAGATATATAAAATAAATGAATGAATGAATGAATAAATAAATAGATAAATAAGTAAATGTAATATATATATATATATATACACCTCGAACCCCAATGTCGCAAGATAAAAGGTACAACGGAACGGATTTTACCGGCAAAAAAGGTAACATTTCCTGAAAAAAAGGATCAAAGGTTTGTTGCTGTTTTCGTCACATCCTGAAGCTCTATCAAGGCAGAACACGCAGTCAGAGTGAAGCACCTAAACATGAAAGTCCCAACAATACTCGTGTTTCGCTTTCAAGATAAACAATAACACTAAAAGACATGAACAAGTTCTGGCTGAATCATTCTGGACATTGCTAGAACTGTTCCGGGAATTTTCGGCACAATTCCCGGAATTTCCGGCACATTTCCGCGAAATCTGCAAACGTATCCAACTACAAATCTAAGAATCTTGAGCCATGGAACATCTGTATTCATTTGCTAAAATGCAGGCTAAAACTGTGCAATTTTCCCTCCATTTGCTAATTCCCCGTCAAGCATTCTCTATCTTGGGAGCTCAGTCAGTTCCAAAATATGTCAAACATTGCCCGTATACCAAATTCTCAGAAAAAGAAACAAATCTCAAAACATGCGCAAATGGGAAAAACCTTGTTTTTCCATTTGTACCTTTTTTTGGGCATACTTTGGAGGCTCTAGGTATATATATATATATATATGTATGTGTATATATATATATATACCCGATGACCCCCAATGCTACATTATACCATTAAGTACCTGTTAATTACAGCACGATTTTTCGTGGTCAAGTCACCATGTTTGATGTTTCAGTCAGCATATATCCAGATATATCCATCATTTATTGGTGCAATCCCCACATTGTTGATTGATACAGTGCGCTGTCTATATAATTTTCCCAGGAATCATTGGGTTATGCATTTGAAAGTTATATCAGTTCTATCCATTAGTCAAGATTATTGTTGAAAGTTATATTCCCCCCCAAAATAAACGAATTACTGGCTTCACCGGGCTCTGCTCATCTTTGGCCAAACAAAAAAATCACTGGACTTCCGCAGCGTCTGCACCTCCTCCTCCGCCTCCTCCTCCTCCTCCGACTTCATCTCCGGCAGTGGAAGGATGGGCTCTGGAACGTCCTGTGGAGCCATGATCCATCAGGGTGCGGTGGACGCCATCCCATAGGCTGGGGATTTTACTCAATCCCCATGAACCTTGGTCTATAGAGCTATCAGTCAAGTGGGGTTATGTCATGCATATATGTGTATATACTGTATATATATATATATCATATGTATATATATATATATAATGTGTATATATATATAATATGTATATATGTATATATATATATAAGGTACACTGATGTATATATATATATATGTATATGTTATTATATGGGTGGATGGAATTGTTGGACCAACAAACAAGACTGGTGGGGGGCCGTCTTTGTAGCCTACCCAGCCAAGATGAATCCAGAATTTCTATGAAAAAAACCTGGAATTGTTGCCACGAAAAGATGGGAAGCACCATTAAAAACCTATATAGTGTATAAAGTGCACATGACCCAGAACCTAGGGATAGAAAAGTCTCAAGCTTTCCGAAATCATTTGGATGTCTGGAACTTTGGTCTGCAGGATGGTTAAGATATGAACACAAAATGGGACAAAGCTGTTCATACACATGTGATTGTTTTGCATAACCTTATCCTCAACATCATCATCACCATCACTATCACCATCATCATCATCATCATCAAAATCATAATCATAATTTGGGCTCTGCCTCGTGACACTAACAGTGACCACAATTCATACCACAAAAAAAAGCACAAACAAAATCAGGTTGTAGTCCCCAATATGACTTTCATTTCCCCTTATTAAGGCTAGATGACCAGGCATGTTCCCTGCAAGTTGGCTCCACGGTCGGCACATTTTCTTGCCGTGCCCAGAAGTCCTTGCTGTCAAAATTCGACATTGGCATTTCCAATGGGGTGCCTCATGCATCCAGCTTGTCAGCACCTTGTGGGTAGTGATGCTGCTGATTGCAAAGCAATATTGTTTAGGGTTTTGGATGCTGCCCATTGCAGCGATGATGGCAAAGCAATACTGTTTAGGGTTTCGGATGCTGCCCATGGCAGCGCTGATGGCAAAGCAACGCTGGTTAGGGTTTAGGATGCTGCCCACCACAATGCCGATGGCAAAGTAATGCTGTTAGGGTTTAGAATGTTGCCCATCGCAGCGCCGATAGCAAAACAATAGAATGTGTGTGTACAATACATATAAAGGCCGGGGCTGCTGGACTGACCCTGGGCAAGGCCTGGGGGCTGAGCCTGGGGGGAGCCTGGGGAACGCTGGCGGACTAGAGGCCTGGCGGGCTGGCTGGCTGAGGGGGGGCCTGGAGCTGGGCCGGGCTGGCCAATTGAAAATGCTTTAAAAGCAGCGACTTTCCGAAAGCAGAAAAAAAGCAGAAAAAAGCAGAAAAAAAAACAGAAAAAAAGCACCAAAAAAAGCAGAAACTGGCGCAGGAAAAAAAGGAAAATGACTTTGTTTTTTTTGTGCTTTTTTTTGTGGTATGAATTGTGGTTTTTTTGTGCTTTTTTTTGTGGTATGAATTGTTGTTTTTTTGTGCTTTTTTTTGTGGTATGAATTGTGGTTTTTTTGTGTTTTTTTTTGTGGTATGAATTGTGTTTTTTTTTGTTTTTTTTGTGGTATGAATTGTGCTTTTTTTTGTGCTTTTTTTTGTGCTTGTGCTTTCTTTTGTGCTTTTTTGTGTGGTATGAATTTGTGTTTTTTTGGTGTTTTTTTTTGTTGTTTTTTTGTGCTTTTTTTGTGTTGATTGTGTTTTTTTTTGTGCTTTTTTTGTGGTATTGAATTGTGTTTTTTTTGTGCTTTTTTTTGTGGTATGAATTGTGTTTTTTTTTGTGTTTTTTTTTGTGGTATGAATTGTGTTTTTTTTGTGCTTTTTTTTGTGGTATGAATTGTGGTTTTTTTTGTTTTTTTTTGTGGTATGAATTGTGTTTTTTTTTGTTTTTTTTGTGGTATGAATTGTGCTTTTTTTTGTGCTTTTTTTTGTGCTTTTTTTTGTGCTTTCTGGCAATTGAAAACAAATTAAACAATAGTTTCCCTTCGCAATTTCAAGGACGAACGGGCTGGAAACGCGCATGATTTGTGGTTTTTTTTTGTGCTTTTTTTTGTGGTATGAATTGTGCTTTTTTTTGTGCTTTTTTTTGTGGTATGAATTGTGCTTTTTTTTGTGCTTTTTTTTGTGGTATGAATTGTGCTTTTTTTTGTGCTTTTTTTTGTGGTATGAATTGTGCTTTTTTTTGTGCTTTTTTTGTGGTATGAATTGTGCTTTTTTTTGTGCTTTTTTTTGTGGTATGAATTGTGCTTTTTTTTGTGCTTTTTTTTGTGGTATGAATTGTGTTTTTTTTTGTGCTTTTTTTTGTGGTATGAATTGTGCTTTTTTTTGTGCTTTTTTTTGTGGTATGAATTGTGCTTTTTTTTGTGCTTTTTTTTGTGGTATGAATTGTGTTTTGTGCTTTGTTTTTGTGGTATGAATTGTGCTTTTTGTGGTATGAATTGTGCTTTTTTTTGTGCTTTTTTTTGTGGTATGAATTGTGCTTTTTTTTGTGCTTTTTTTTGTGGTATGAATTGTGCTTTTTTTTGTGCTTTTTTTTGTGCTCGGGAGCGCCGGAAAAGCACAAAAAAAAGCACAAAAAAGCAGCAAAAAAAGCACGAAAAAAGCACAATTTCTTTGGAAAAAATGAATCTCAGGCCACCTGGCCTCGACAGCCTTCGGACCAGCGGCCCAGCAAATGTCTCACACCATTTCCTTTTTTCCAACCTCCTTTCCAAAAAAAACTCTCAAGAGTGAGCCCATGCCAGGAGCGGGAATGTGAAAAAAATGTAATTATCATATGATGTTTATTAAGAACCTCAACAACTATTGTTGGAGGCACGCCTTTGTAACGCTTTTCACTTATAACTTACAATGGTTGGACCGTTTGATTGCAGTGTCTCGGTATCTCAGGTATGCTGCATTCAATATTGTAAAGAATGTCATGAGTCATAATATCGTATCATCATATCGATGCAACACCTTGCATCATCATACCAAATCATTGCCATTGCTATTTGACACACAAATATTCAGATAAACAAAATGATGTCAGCTGTCAGACTTCCCAGAACCATTCCAACGTTCCAACCATCAAAGGATATCAACAGCAACATCGGTACTTTGATTTTTTGGCTAGTTGATGACAAGTTCAACAAACATGTCCTGATGGCTCCAACAATATGGCGCAATACAAAAGGATGTTCGTTAAAATGATTTAAATGGTTTAACCACAAACAATGCCACCTCAAAGGTAGTGATGTTGTTGCATTCACTACTCCACCCTTTGTTACTTGTACGGCCCACCTAGATCACATCTTCTCCTAAGCAGACCCTAAGGATCCCCTAAAATGGCCTGAGTTACCACCAATATGATTGTGCTTTTTTGGTATGTGGTTTATGAAGGGGGGGCAGTTTTGAACTGTTAGTGGGCGGGGGCAGACCTCAAATCATAATCATCATCATCATCATCATCAAATAATATTCAATATACATTGTCGCATATTTCATGTTGAAACTGTGCTTGATTGAACAAAATATAGGGATCAAACACATCACACAAAAGTAGTTCCTTTTTTATTCTGATGATTTACATGTCCATCGTTTTGGGGGTACGGCTAACATCATACCCTCCCTGATCATCGAACAGCCCTCAAAAGATTGTGGTTCACTTCTGGATCGATCGGGATTAAATCTCCTCTTGAATCTGATCCTTCACCCATTTAGTAATATTTTGTACAAGTACATTGGTACCAAAATGATTCTCCTATTAACATCATATATCCCATGATTGATCAGCATTATATATATAGCACACTGCATTTCCCATTCAAACTGGCATGTGGTCAAATTTCCATGTTGTATACCACTCATCTGGGCTAATTACTTCGAGATACCACCTAGCGAGTTTGCAACTGGTTAACTCATATTAATAGCGTTGGCTAGTAAGTCATTTCTGCATTTAGCCAATGTATTTAAGATTCACCAATAACTATTTGATTAAATCAGCGAATTCCTGTAGATTTGTTGCTTGTTTATAGAGCTGTCTTGGCTGGTGAATCGTCCACGTTGTTTGATTCAAAGATAACGTAGACTGATTCCTTCATGTTTGATGCTTGAATCCAAATTTACCAGTTTCGTTGCATAGGAATCCAACAAAAATAGTATACCCTAAGTTATGATGATAAACCGCTGGCTTCTGGGGTACCCTACTTTTCAGACACACCCACATATATCCAAATATCACACTGTTGATTATATATAAACCCCATTAAACCTACTGTAAATGTATCCCATGAAATCGCTACAAGAAAATGGTTGGTTTTACATCTGCATTCTCAGACACCACACATGAATCATATTGGATGTACATTAATGTATATTACATTATAAAATGTTATAAATATGTACAGATCATATCCCATGTCGCAAAGTATCAGCTTCCCCATGAACAATTCCGATTTTGCCTAGTCTCATCCCACCTTTACGTTGCAACGCATATGGTTAATATACAACTATTAGTGTATAAGTGTATAACCATGATGATAAAACCATTATTAACCATCCTATATGAACCATTATGAACCATTGATATCCTATCTGAAATGGGTGGTCAAAATTGGATACTCCAATCAAGTTGGATGGTTAATAGGGACGGTCAAGTTGGATGTTAATACCATGGTTAATAGACTAAGCCATCTGTGGTCGGTGAGTTTTTCATGGCTTGAGCCATACCCAAACCATCCCCAAATGGCTATGGATTCTATCGGGCACCTGTCAGGGTGACTTGCCCCATCCCCAAATATCAACCATTCGCCATATTTTTACCACCCATTTTCCTGGGAATGGTCAACAGACCACCCAAAAAAATGGTGATTTTTTCTGGGGGATGGTGAGAAAATTGATCGCCCAGGAATGATTTTTTTCATTCCCTATAGCCTCAATAGCGAGCTTACGGTTGTGGAAGAGCTATCGACTCATCGATCGATATGCTGAGGCAGCTTTCCCAAGACGATGTTGGATATCTCGGCCCATGTTGCAGTTCTGTGCCAAGACAATGCCAAGATGGGAAAATTGGGATACAATTCGAAGATCTTCATGATGAGAGATCGGAAGAATGCCATGTCCTTCAACGAAACGTTGGCGACGAAGATCAGGAGCGCCAGAGCCACAATAATGCAGGTTCGCCTCAGTCTTCCCAGGGTTGAAGTTGAGCTGAAGGCCGAACTTTTTGAACACCAATTGCACTCGTAGGAGGCTATCCTGAACCGTGTTGTCCAGCTCGGAGGCCAAAAGACATGGGATTGGGAGCGCAAGGTCGTCCACCCACACAATCACAGGGGGGGTGTCCATCAAGGTATTGGCTACGCTAGGTACAGCACGTAGCTCAGCTTCAAGGTCTTTGAGCAATGCGCTCATCAAAATGTTGTATGCAAGGTCAGCAAGAGGTGACCCAGGTCGTGAACCACGAGAAGTGGTGAAACACTTAAGCCAGTGTTTGGGGACGTTTTTGGAGGTGTCACAGTGTGCGTCTCTGGTGACAGTTGTTTTACCCACATTAGTACCCAAAGGATCCATGTATGGTATATATGGTAACATTTACCATCAATATACCCCAAATGTTAGCATATATACCATACATGGATCCTTTGGGTTAGTATTTAAAAAAAGCTACAGGGGCTACAGGATCACCCAGGATCACCGAGGCCCCAGTTGGATCGCCTCATGAGGCGACGATGCCCCGAGGAGCTCCAGGAGGCGATGCGCGCGTGGCGGTTCCAAGGTGCCCAGGGGCGAGGAGGGCGACGACTGCACGGCGCAGTAAAGCTGATGTCACAGAGAAACATAGGGATTTTATGGGGATTTCACCAGTCGAAACAATTGTGATTTAACTATATTTAACTGATTTAACCAACAAGAAAAAAGGGATTCAATGAGATTGATATAGCTGATTTATGATAGCTAAGTTGGTGAACGTAACTCCAATTTTACTATGGTTTATGTGGTGCTTACAACGCACTAGTTAATGGGTTTGTAAACCAACTTATAACTGGGGGTCCCACATTGTAAGATACGTTCAAACTAGCCTAACTAGGCTAAATAGGGACTATACATTTTTTATAGCCCAACTTATAATGGTGCCCAACTTCTAACATTGCAATTTTGTTGCAGAAAAAAACTGATTTAATACATTCAATGTATGGAATATTTAATACCCTTTTCGGAAAAAAATCCCAAATGTAGGCAATTTGGTTTATAACTTAAGTAGGGTCTATGATTATAGCTATAGTTATAACTGGTGCTGTAATCCAACTTTATGGGGTCACCACCTTGTAAGCAATTATGAGTATACAAGGAAGAAGAAACATGATATGTGATACCATCCCACTAATAGCAACCACATAGTCTTCAAAATGAATAGGGCCAATTGTGAACCACAAATTTCTAAGGACATCTTGAATTAGTGGGATCACCCCGGAATTCTGTGACAATATTGACAATGTGGCATATGTTGAGATTGGACTGCTTTCTAGAAGAAAAATATAGAAAAACTGGGGTTTATGAAGCCGGGTTCACATTGGTGTATGTTGAAACCCATTACAAAACCAGTTTTGTAAGAGGGTATGATATAAGCCACTTGCGAGTTGTCGAGTACTGTAACCAGTTTGATCCATGGCACATCCCATTTTTAGTGGGCTTCCAGGACTTAAAAAAACACACACAATTTCGGGATTTTGAACCGAAAAACATGGGACTTTCCGACGAGTTAAAAGGAATGTTCCAGGTGAAGTAGCTGGTTTGATGGTTTTTTCTGAAAGTGAAACATGCAAAAAGTTGCCAAGATATGCATTGATGAACAAATCTTTGGGTATGAGCTATTTTAAATGAATCTTTGGACCTTTTGGAATCCTTGCCCCCGGCCGAGATTTCCTCGGTGATGGATTTGCCATGGACCTTGGGTGACCTTGGGTATCCCCTGGTGTCAGATGACCATGTAACCGTGGTACGAGTACCACCATGGCTGTTAAACTCATCGAAAAAATCACCGCCTAATATGGTTCTATAGTGTGTTCTATATGTGTGGGGGAAATCCCCATCCGCTTTGGTACTGAAAAACTCAGATAAAACTCATAAAACTGCTGGTGAACCCCAAGCCCTAAAAAAGCACTGGGCATCTGCGGCCCGCCCCCGGCACCGTTCGAGCATTGGGGTCTCGCGGTAAACTTAGGGAGCGCCGCCCAGGTTCAGGAACCTGCAGGCTTCCAGCTCGCCAAAGCGCCCCGCCATAGTTGGTGTACAGATACACTCACGATCCGATTGATCATGGACATATAGGAACTAATAGTTGAAGGGTTCTTCCTTTAAGCAACTTGCAAATTCCAATTTAGTTCTTGGGGTAGATCCAAGTGTTTAATGGTCAAATCATTTTGAGGGAAAAGTACCAATGATGCGAAGCTGGGTCTTAGGCAAACCTGGCCATGAGCTGTGAGGGGTTCACCCGAAACTAGAGACTAAATCATCACAAAATTTACCAGCAAATATGTATTTATATATATATATGGTTTAAACATTAAAAGTAGATATTTGGGAATTGTTTTTCTATCTGTCTTGGGAACCCTATGCATGTTTAAAGAATTTTAAAGATAACTATGCGGGAATTGTTTTTCTATCTCTTTTGGAAACCCTACATATATATATATATATATCTATATATATCTATCTATCTATCTATCTATATATTATAATTATATTGTATATATATATATATTATACGATCAGTGTGTATATATATATAGAGAAAGAAAGACTGGATACAACTCGCAAGCAAAGAAAGCTTGCTTGCAACTTCCTGGACACATGGAGTCCTGAACCAAACGTTGTAGCCATGGTTAAGGAGCTGATCTACTTGGATCCACAGTGATAAATTCGTGCACGATTCGATGCTGCTCCAGTGAGCTAAATCGCTGAGTGAACGTCCGATTTAATGTTTGGATTTATCGGGAATATATCTAGCTAAAAGGGATTGATATATAACTATAATGAAATTGGATGAAATTGGTTCATATACCCATCAATATAGCTATTTGGATTTAAAATAAAACATTTCATAGTTTCATAAATATAGGTCGATCGGATTAAACACCAACACTGGCCGTCACTGGGGGGAAAACAACCACCCCAGAAGCACCTCCGGAATTGGCATGCCTGCCTGGATCAAACAGCCAGTGCTGGAACATTTTGGGGATCCAAGATATTTGGTGTTGATTGAAAGCAAACAAATGACAAATTGATGAAAAATGATAAACATGTGCTACAGTATTTCTCCTACATCTACTTGCGAATCACAATTCCTATTCCTGTCATGTTGCCATTTTGGAGGTACAAAAACCATGTTCAAACACGAGAGGGCGGCGTAGCCACGACTAATTGAACAGATTGTACCCCACGACAAGGTTTTGACGTATCCTCGACTATTTTGCGCCCGTGCACACGACTATTTTAAGACCCGTACGCACGACTAATTTGAGACCTGTAGGCACGACTAATTTAAGCCCGAACGACTAATTTCCATTGTATTATACAGTGCCAAAGGAAGCTCCCGTCCACTGTATTATACAGTGCCAGAGGAGGAGGAGGAGGAGGAGGAGGAGGAGGAGCTTCCCGTCCACTGTATTATACAGTGGCAGAGGACGATCCGGAGCTTCCCGTCCACTGTATTATACAGTGCCAGAGGAGGATTTCCCGTCCACTGCATTATACAGTGCCAGAGGAGGATTTGGAGCTTCCCTTCCACTGTATTATACAGTGCCAGAGGAGGGTCCGAAGCTTCCTGACCACTGTAGTATACAGTGCCAGAGCTTCCCGCCCACTGTGTTATATAGTGCCGCTAGCAGAGCACCCAGCAGCCGAGCAGCAACGGCCGCAGCAGCAGCAGCCAACCAGCACCTCAACGCGACACTGCGTCATCCTTCTCCACCCGCCCGGGGGGCCATGATTAGCAATCTCAAGCCCGGCGCTGCCCCATACTCACGGGCACCTGTAGTGTAGCGGCTAAGGCGTCGGCAAAAAAGTAGTAGTAGCAATAAGAAAAAACATTTCCGATAAGCACAATAAAAGGATCGGCTGGTCGTTTTCGGCTGCGGCAATTTTTACTTGCAACTCTTGATACGCGCCAACATGTTTGGGCAGAACTACATTCGTACCCTGCAAAAAAAAAGGAAGGCCGTAACATTGTTCACGCTACTGCGACTGATACAGATGACACGCACCAACATGTTCTTGCGGAAATGACTTGCGGAAACTGTTCTTCTTGAGACCCCTTCTCTTTGACAGGTTCTGTGACATCGGCTGGATCGAGATCAACAACTTGGCTTGGCCCCTGCAGTCGGTGGAGCTTGCTTCCACCATCGACTAAAAACAATAAAATAGATTCTACCTTGCGCAAACCGAATTCTCCAGCCTGCACAGTGGCGCCTTCGTAGAAATATAGGAATCCCTGCCACAAATCTCCCTAGAATGCCAGGAACAGAAACTATCATGACTGAAGGAGATGAGAACCAAACAGTTACGTGCCTGCTGCTTTTTCATAAACTCAAAACTCACCTGCAATCAAACCCTTTCGTCACTTGCGATGAGGCAAAGGGACATTGCCGATAGGTAGCAGCGAGGCAAGGGTTGACAGGGTATGGAAGCATAAGCTCTTCATTCTTCTTTGCAGGTTGCTTCTTTACCACTAGCATCGAACCAAGACCGCGATGTCTTGAAACGCACATTGGCTGAAAGCTGGCAGCATGAAACCAGACACGGATGGCCCGAGAGCGAACAGGAGCATAGACAAGTGTATATATGACTTTCTTGAAAAGAGAGCATGTCACCGAGATTAAGTCTATGGAGACGTAAGAGAAGGAGAGAGTGATGGAAGGAGAAAGAGAGGATGTGGAGATATGAAGATTAGCAGATGAGAGAAAGACGATTTGACGATGCGCCGATGTGAGATGTGAAGATGATGAGATGATGATATGTGCAGATGTGAAAAAGTGAAGATGGCACATGTAGATGCGAAGATGGGAAGATGATCTGTTTAGATGTGAGAATGTGACGCTCTTACACAAAATCGCTTTCACACAGAAAGCCTTTTACCACAACAACATTACGCACGAAAGCTTTTACACACAAACAATTTCACGCACAAACGCTTTTACATATACTTGTATTTAGTTACATGACCATGTCCATGACACACACACACGCGCTTTTAATTCACAATTTAAACGCAGTTTGTGCAGATTAAACCTCATTTCGTGCGAAATGGTTGCATTTCGTGGCGCCTCGTTGGCATCGCCCTCGGCCTAAAGAGAGAAGATAAAGAGAAGACGTGGGAGAGAGAGAGAGAGAGAGAGATGGTAAGAGTCGTGAAGATGTGCAGATGCGAAGATGTGAAGATGACATGTGTAGATCTGAAGATGAGAAGATGTGAAGACGTGAAAATGACATGTGTAGGTGCGAAGATGCGAAGCTGTGAAGAAGAGAGGATGATATGTGTAGATGTGAAGATGAGAAGATGATATGTGTAATGTCAAGTGAGGATTAATGATGCCCTCCCGATTAATCAACAGAAACTGCCCAAAAAAAAATGTAATTTAAAAACAGGTGGTCCCCCCAGATTAATATTTTTTTTGGCCTACCCCCGATTAATCAACAACCACTTCGGAAATCCATTTGTTTATCCAACATTTTTATTTCCAATTCTATAACTTTCCAATTGTTTTTTTACCTTTTTTTAATCATCATTGTTATATTTCAGGTTTAAGTTGATCATTGAAAATTTCAAAAAACAACTATTCCCCAAATGATCGATTTCTAATTAAAATCTTGATAAAAAATCATCAGTTTGGATAGCTCCCAAAGGGTACCCCCCATGAGCCCATGTCCCCCATTAATAATAACCAGGGTTTGCCCCTGATTAATCAACCACCTTTCTGATCCATGAAATTTTAACAAATCCACTGGAATTCTATTAAGATCTAATTGACGTAAGCCATATCCAAAGTTTTATGGTTCAGAGTTGCTTATTATTAAGGGGCGATCAAGAAAACCAGTCAGAAGGTACCTCCCTACCTTCTGGGGGGGGGAGGGGGGGGTTATTAATCCGGTGTTGGCATTAGATGCGAAGATGAGAAGATGATATGTGTAGATGTGAAGATGTGAAAATGAAAAACAGACCCCAACTATTAGAAGAACCCTTCGCTCAGACGCTCTCGGTAAAAAACGTTGTGAAATTCCGTGCTCATGTCATGACAGTAGCATCAAGGACATCGTGGAAATTGTTTAAAATTTTCCTGAAGTCGAAAGACCATGCACCAACTGTGTGGCCTCCTTCGTAGTACTGTCATCGAAATGCATCCACCTGGATGGTAACCTGACCCAAGATCGCAGCACTGCATGCATGGTGTTGACACTGCGGGCATCCCTGAACACCTGCAGCACACACTGTAGCGCTGAGAAGAGTGATGAATCACGACCTCAAGATGGGCAGGAAAACAAGATCTGACATGTCATTGCGGAATGCTATGCCATGCACTTAGGCCGCTGCCCCGCAAAGGCGTCAGCCAAGAACCTCCTCTGATGTGACCACCTTTGAATCATCCTTCCGCTCATCAATCCTGAAGCAACATGTATTATAAAGGAACCTGGCCCTATTCACTCTTTCTAGCGCGTGAAACTACACTTTGAGAGCCGCGCCCTGCTCGCTGGAGCTGCACGCACAAGACCTCTTTCCCCAATAGCATTTCTCAATTCAAATTAGCATGTTGGTCCGTTCCAGCAGATACATCTCCTACAACTCAATGCGCAAGGAAGTGAGGCTGGGGCCGGTGGCACCCTGACTGGCAAAAGTGTCTGGGTGGAGGGGCGTTCCTGCTCGCATGCCGGGCACGTTGCAAAAGCATAACAAGTATTTGTGGTCACATATGGCCTGGAGAAGCAAGGATTTCTTCGACGCAGCCTCCACCAATCAGGCTCTGAAAGCTCTTGCGTCTCGAAAAACGAATCCACTGATTCCTGCATGCAAGGCAGCCATGGTAAGACTAAAAGTGACTAGCAGATCCCTACCTATATACTACAAGGGAGGAGTCCAAAAATGTAACTTACTGAAAATGCATCTTGGAAGGGTCAAGAAGATAAAGTAACAATACATGCTTTTACCTTGGGCGAAGGAAGTTTAGAAGTTCAACTTCCGACAATATGGACTGAGAAAAGTAGAGAAGAAAACCAAAGAGAAAGTGAGAGAAGAGAAGAGAAGCGAAGAGCAAGTCAGATAAAGTCGGTAGAAAGAAGATGCAGGTGCCCGAAAAGGTTGGAAAGTCGCGAAACACGCTGATTTTCCAACTGTTTTGTGGCTCAGGAGGGTCGAAAAGTAGGCTCGCTAAAGCGGCGGGTGCGGAGCCAGGTCGGCAGATGAGAGATGAAATAGTGCACGGCGTTGTGGACGGGAAGCTCCGGATCCTCCTCTGGCACTGTATAATACAGTGGACGGGAAGCTCCGGATCCTCCTCTGGCACTGTATAATACGGTGGACGGGAAGCTCCGGATCCTCCTCTGGCACTGTATAATACAGTGGACGGGAAGCTCCGGATCCTCCTCTGGCACTGTATAATACAGTGGATGGGAAGCTCCGGATCCTCCTCTGGCACTGTATAATACAGTGGACGGGAAGCTCCGGATCCTCCTCGGGCACTGTATAGTACCGTGGACGGGAAGCTCCGGATCCTCCTCTGGCACTGTATAATACAGTGGATGGGAAGCTCCGGATCCTCCTCTGGCACTGTATAATACAGTGGATGGGAAGCTCCGGATCCTCCTCTGGCACTGTATAATACAGTGGACGGGAAGCTCCGGATCCTCCTCTGGCACTGTATAATACAGTGGATGGGAAGCTCCGGATCCTCCTCTGGCTGTATAATACAGTGGAAGTGAAAATAGTCGGATAGTCTTGTTGGGAAATAGTTGTGGTTTCTTTTTTTCCTTTTTGTAGGTTTAAAAAATTAGTCGTGGATACGCCGCCCTCCTGTTCAAACACACCCATTTGGCCAAGAACTATTATGTATATTATGTCTATTATATATCGGTGTAACCAATCTAAAAGCTCCCCCAAGATTCGCCAAGAAATATGTCTAGGTCAGCTGGAAATTGTTTGAATTCAATGGCACCCCAATGGAAGCAGATTTTGCTAAATGACCACATTTTCTTTTAAATGTACAGCCAACAGCAAGGAAGGATATATCATATGAACCATGAAAAATATGTAACCATGAGGATCGGAACCAACGCAGAACTTATTCTGGGGATGCAAGAACCTATTCTGGGGGTTGCCCCCCCACGGAAAAGTCGGTAGTTCATTTCTGCAGAAGACCCGTACTAAATTCTAAAGCCGTAATCAATACTTTTTGGACATAAGGGTTAAAACAGCTAAAACCCAAAATGGCAACTGATAAACCACTTGAGATGCAATGACAAGAAATCTATATCTGGTACAGCTGACAAGTCAGCAATATCTCACAATGTCCGATATGGATATGATATAAGAGGTCCAATACATGCTGACAGTCACATGCAGCCTATGGACATAGACATAGTCTGCCCTATCGGGCTAAGTTACCAAGATTTGACGAAGGAAACAGCTGACCTACAGAATCTTTAAATCGTTTGAGTATAGCATCTTTGTGGGGGGGTCATGTATCAATCATATATAATCTGGGCAAATTATAATAATTCACGAACCTGAAATGTTGGGCCATTTTGGGATGATTCCCCTTAAACAAAAACATGATTCCAAGGAGGTCGAGCAGTGAGGTCCGTGATTTCTTGATTTCTCCCAGCCTGTGGTGAGTTGCCATAGACTTGGCCCTCAGAACGGGGCAAGTTATGATAGGAGTTATGATAGGTTATAACACCCAAAAAAAAAAGTGCCATGGGTAATAATGGGATATTTACCATGGTAAAGTAGTTCAT